CCGCCGTTCATCGCTCTGCAGAACACAGGCTATCGTTATAAAAGGACACATGTGTAAAGCCATCTGCCAGCACCATAGCTCCAAGACAGTGAAACCTAGACACCTGAAACTTGGCGTGCGCGCTAACAGGCCCCAGGGCTGTGCGCCACAGGGTTGTTTTGTATGTGAAGCCCATCAGTTCATTTTAATTATTGTAAATACGTCCATATGGCTGAAGCCTGCAGTAACATCTTTGGTCATTAGAAACTTTTCAGTGACTATGGTTTTAAACCAGGGAAGACTAGGAAGCTGTCACACAGAGTTACACACCCATCCCTGATGTGTGGCAGTGCCCCCCCCCCCCGATGAGTGGACAAACCCCTGAGTGGGCTGTGGAGATGGACCGTCTCAAGGGCTGTGCTTCAGGGTGCCAGCAGGCACGGCTTCAGTTTGTCGGACTCTGACAGCTTCATAACCAGGCTTGATGACTTTGCCTTGCCAACCTAAGAAGTATTCCATCCCATACGAAGCCACGTCTGCTTGGGAGCCTAATTTTAACATGGTGGTGTGTGTTAATTTTTGCACTATTGACATACACAGTTGAAAACTGACTTTTTAATTGTATTTTTTAATGTTAGTGTTGGCGTTCTTTTATCTGTGTGTGATTTGACATGCTCAGCTTACGAGTTTAGCCATGTATTACCATGTGAAAAAGCCTTCCTTGTATCTAGCAGAGAACGCATAAAATGGGCATTCTGTGGTATAGTGACACATTAGCATCAAGGGTTTAAAAAAAAGCAGGGTGTGAAATGGATGGCCATGGAAGTCTTTTGTCAGGCACAAGTTCAGCCTCTGACCTTTCTGCTTGGGTAGGGGAAAGACCTCCAAACCTGGGACTGTGGGAAGCCACTGCCAACCAAAGTGGACAGTGTGGCACTAGGCGGATTTGGCATGAGGCGTGCTTTTTTTGAAAAAGGTCTTGTAGGCCAAAATGTGTGGAGGGTTATGCATGGCCCCTCTCTTCCTCAGTGGAAGGTCCGGTACTGAGGCACCTAATTTGCATGCCAAAGGTTCCCATCTAGCCCTGGGGCCTCCAGGCAGGGCGTGGAAAGGCCCCAGTGAGAGCCTTAAGGAGTCACTCCCAGTCAGTATTTGACAGCACTAAGCTGGATGGATCGATGTCCTGACTCAGCTCAGCATGAGGAAACATCTCACATTCCCTGCAGTCTTTTCAGGTCTCAAATCACATCTCAGGTATTGCTGTCAAAACCGGCCCCAAACTGGCATACTGGCCCATTTTTTAAATCCATGCGTTTATCCATGTCATATATGTCAGCTTGTGAAACAACAGCCGTCTTCCCATTTGGATTTGAAAGATAATCCAAAGTTCTGCTCCTGTGTGCTTTGCAAAGGGAAGCAAACTACCCCGGGGGCTATCCACATGGGCTGGTGTCAATACCCCTTCATTCTTTGTTGGATTTCAAGTGACCCTTTAGTTCTCCTTCCCCTCTCTCTTAAGCTGCATCTTCCTAAGAGAAGGATATGCAAGCAAATAATATTGCAGGGACTAGTATGGCTTTGTTTTTAAGCGCTAGCTTGGTTGCTGTCGGCTTTGCATATGAGTGAGTGAACAGGCTGTCAGTAAAGCTTGACGCCCTGCAAAGAAACCTAATGAGGTTTCAGAGGAAAAAAGCTTCCCCCTCTCCCCTGGGTTTCCCCATAACAAGGAAATCCCATCTCTACTCTCCCCTCAAGTCAGTAAAAGCTTGTGTGTGTGTGTGTTTTTCCAGGACAGAAATATAAGTGGGCTTATTTCCAAGGCTGGACAAGTAAGTCCTGAGGACTTGTTTGCAAGTCTGCATCTAGCAGAGAGACACACTGAGTTAGCCGCTGCTTTCGCGTTCAAAGGGGATGCAGGGGTGTCCTTTTCACCTTGCAGAGTCCAAGTGTGCAGCCAACTTTAGAGAGGAGGTGGTGAATGAGAGTATAGATGAGTGTGACGGTGCCCACCCCACAACCTCCGGCGGAGTAATGCAGGCAGTACTTTCTTTGCCAGCTTTTAAGCTCCAGGTGAAGATGCTGATGGTGCTAAGGTTGTCTTGCTACTTTCACTGCTGATTTCATTTCCTGTGACTTTCAACTTTTAATTTCTTTTAAACTGAGCTTCAGTGTTTGATTTTAAGTGTGTAGTTGCCAGCCACTTTGGAAGCTTTGCCTGGAATGCAGCAGTTTGGGATGGCTGTTCTATACCTTTAAAACAAGGTTGCAAACTGAAAGCCACCCTCATTTGAAGCCAGTCTCTCTCAACCTGGGGCCCTCCGGGCATTCTGGACTTCTGCCTCTTATCAGCCTCAGCCAGCATGACCATTGGTTAGAAAAGCTGGTAACTGGTACTCCAAAAATCCTGGGAAACCCCAGAGAAAGGCTGTTATAAGAATACTGACTAGAGCAGAAGTTCCATAAAGTGCTGTGGAATCAATGTATACAGGTACCCTGTACAGTGGATATACAATTGTTATTATATTAATATATGTTTAATAATGTTGATCTGATGGGGTTCGGCCCTGGATCCAGGAGGCTCTCAATGCCTCATTAAGAGAGGGAGTGGTCCCTGCCCTTTATTTTAAAGGAGGCAGTAGTGAGACCACTCGTTAAAAGGCCAGGCCTGCATCCAGGGGTACTGGGTAACTACCGGCCCATTGTTAATCTCCCTTTTTTGGGCAAGGTGTTGGAATGGGTGGTGGCCAGACAGTTGCAGGCACTCTTGGAGGATATGGATTATCTGGATCCATTTCAATCGGGCTTTCAGCCTGGGTTTGGAATAGAGACAGCTTTGGTCATCCTGTACGATGACCTGTGCAGGGAGAGGGACAGAGGGTTGGTTCTGCTTGACCTCTCAGCGGCCTTCGACACCATCAACCATGCTGTCCTTCTAGACAGTTTGTCTGGGGTCGGGGTTGGAGGTGCTGCTTTGCAGTGGTTGCACTCCTACCTGGCTGGCCGAGTGCAGAAGGTAGTCCTGGGGAACTGTTGCTCTGCACCATGGTGGTTGGGTCGTGGGGTAGTGCAGGGCTCAGTGCTGGCCCCCATTATTTTTAACATCTATATGAAGCTGCTGGGAGAGGTCATCCGGAGGTTTGGGCTGAGGATTCAGCAATATGCTGACGATGCTCAGCTCTGCTTCTCTTTTACGTCTCATCCAGGTGAGGCTGTCGCTTCCTTGAAGCGGGGCCTGAGCTCGGTAATGGACTGGATGAGGGTCAGTAAACTGAGGCTCAGTCCTGACAAGATGGAGGTGCTGCTAGTAGGAGGGTCATCAGCAAGGTTGCAGGGGCATTACCCTGTCCTCGATGGGGTTGCACTCCCCCTAAGGGACAGGATCTGTAGTCCGGGGACCCAGGTTTGTCCCTGGAATATCAGGTGAGCTTGGTGCCCACGGGTGCTGTCCTCCAGCTGCAGAGGATACACCAGCTTCATCCCTACCTGGACAGACAGAGCATGAAAACACGGGTAACATGCAAAATAGATTACTGCAATGTGCTTTACATGGGGCTGCCCTTGAAGATGGTCCAGCAATTACAACTGGTACAGAATAGGGCTGCTCGGTTGGTGAGGGGAGCCCCTAGAGCGGCCCACATAGCACCTTCACTGAAAGATCTTCATTGGTTACCCATTGTGGCCCGGGCCCAATTCAAGGTGCTTGTGTTGGCATAGAAAGCCCTAAACGGCTTGGGCCCCGGTTGTCTTCGGGAGCAGCTGCACCCGTATGTGCCTACCCGGTCTTTGATATCTACCCAGGGGGCCCTCCTGTGTGAGCCATCCCTTAAGGAGGTGAGCGGGATGGCCGCGAGGGGAGGGCCTTTTCTGAAGCTGCTCCCCATATTTGCAATGCTCTCCCCAAGGAGATTCACCTAGCGCCAAAAAGAAAGGAAGGAAGGACCTTCCTTTTTAAAAAACATTTTAATAACTAATTGCCATAGACCTTTGCTTTGTATTTATTTAAAGTTATTTGTTGTTTTTAATGTGCTATGGTTTTTATTATGTTTTTATTGTGTTTTTGTCTTGTGTTGTGAGCCATCTAGAGGTACTGTGGCAGAACTGGGCGGCATACAAATGTTCTAAATGAATGAATAAATAATTGTTACTATTATATAGTTAACAACAATGCCATCGCACCTCTGCAGCCTCCCCCCACGCACACGTTAAGCATCCACAGACAGGGACCCTTTTCAAAACTAATTTATGCTCAAGAGCACCCTTGTTTTCCAGCCTCTCAAGACCCGTGTGCTCATGCACACCGTCCATTTCATGCGTTTGATCTCTGGTAGACAGACAAGTTCTAGAGAACTTGCACGCTTGCTCACTGCCCTGTGATGTCTCAGTTGGTCTCCATCGAAGCAGGGTAGGGGGCAAGGAGTTGTGGTCCAGTGGTCTTGGGTTTGGGTTTGCGGGGGAAGTTCTGGGTTTGGGGCCTGGCCCAGCTGGGCCCCTAGTCTGACCCAGAGTAGAGTAACATCGTGCAGTTGTTATGCAGCTGTTACTCCTGGATTTTACATAGTTCGGTACGACACTTGTTAGCCCCAGCCAGCAATGACTTTATGCACTATATGCTTTTATGGCTTTTATGACCAGGCCTAATGAGAGTTGCATTCCAACTCAGCTGGAGGGGAATCTGTTTGGGGTAATCCCAGTCTAGAATGTCACCCCATTTCACATGGCGTTTCATGCTGGAACCTCCCGGGAAGCCCACAAGTGGGGCACAAAGGCAGTAGCTTCCTGCTGCAGCTTGCTCCCAGCAGCCAGTACTCAGAGGTAGACTGGCTCTGAACCTGGAGGCTCTGGTTAGTGATTGTGTCTAAGAGCTGCTGGTGGGTCTCCGTGAATCCACCAAGGGAGAAGAGGCACTGCTGCTTATTAGAAGTCCCTGTGCTATAATGAGGGCCTCTGTGAACGTTCCTTTGGCTGACCTTGCTGTCTCCCTCCCTCCCTCCCTCCCTCTCTGGTCCTCCTTGCTGCAACAGGATGGACCGCATGACGGAGGACGCCCTGCGCCTGAACCTCTTGAAGCGGAGCCTGGACCAGGCCGATGAGCGGGATGACGTCCTGGCCAAGCGGCTGAAAATGGAGGGCCACGAAGCCATGGAACGCCTAAAGATGCTGGCGCTGCTCAAGCGGAAGGACCTAGCGGGCATCGAGGTGCCCCACGAGCTGCCTGTCAAGCAGGACAGCCTGAAAGTCTACGAGGAGAAGCTGAACGGGAACCTGCGGCCCCACCCGGACAGCCGGTCTTCGGGGCGGCCGGGCAAGGAGAACATAAACGATGAGCCTGTGGACATGAGTGCGAAGAGAAGGTAGGGGGTGCCCAAGTTGGGAGGGAACTCGAATCTCAGTATGACCCCCTCCCCCTGCCATCACCATCCCCCCAGCAAAGGCCATTACTGATTCAGACGCGTTCACTTTGGGTTAAACTTGAAGGCTGCTTATGATACAAATCAGGGGTGGGCAACCTGATGCCCTCAAGATGGTTTGGAGCACAAGTCCCATAATCTCTAGCGGGCTTAGAAGACTTGTAGTCCAAATCATTTGGGCAGCACCAGATAAGCTTACCAGTCCTATTTATTTTATGAGAACTCTGTTCTGCTGACTTGTTTATTTACCTACCTACTTATGTTTCACTTTTGAGCGCCGTCTCTTTTCCTTGAACCTGAACTGCTGGACGCAGTTATTGTTAAATGGTACGCTAACACATTTCAGTGAGTTACTTTTCCTTAGATTATTATATTTTCTCAGTTGAATCCTTTGCTCCTAAATTACAGTGCTGTTAGATCTTCTCAAAGACCCATCTCCAGTTGGGTGGAATCTGAGACAGGTATTGGGTTAAAGGAACACCTTGCTGTCAAGCCCAACTGAGCTGGAAGCAGGTGCATAATCCAGGCAGGCAGGAACCAAGTTCCCTTGCCGTCACCTTTCTGACTAGCACAACCCAGTGTGATTTAATTTTTGAAATGTTTTCCCTGTGTAAATAAGTTTTGTTTGCCCTTGGGGGCGTTTGCCTTTACCCAGATCTAGTGAGCTGTAAAATACTGTACTATCATAATGGTCACTATAGGATCCTTAATGGTCTGGGGTCATTCTGTGAAGGAGTTTGAAAGGGGGCATTTGCTGAAGCAGTGGAAGGTAAGGGCCAAATGTTGTAAACATATGTGAGAAAAGGTGAACATTCTCAAGCAATAGTGGATTTTATAGGAAAAATTCCACCCCCCAGCCCTCCCCAAGCATTCATATCTCAAAAGCTGAGACATTTCAATATGTAACATAGCCTTAGCTTAACCATTCTGGCGATCTTGTTGCCACTTTTATTATTGATTTGATAATTATTTTGCTATTTAAAAATAATTACATTAAAACAAAGAAGCATAAGAGGATAAAAATCCCTGTCCAGTGATCATAAACACCTTAAACCTAATGTGTTTTTTCTGCAAGAATAAGCTGATTCCAGTAAGCCACGACTAGCCCTCTGTGTAGGTGTATGACGAGGAGGGTGTCTTTGTCCCTCATAACCCTCAAGCTCAGCTTATCAGGCTTGTACGCCAGGTCTAGCCTGGCCAATTTTTCACTGCTGTTACCCCTTCCCGAGCCCAGTACTTTTGCTAGAAGGATCTTCCTCAGATTAACTTGTCCTTGGACACGTTGCTTGGCGGGCACGCGTAGGTGCGCACGCCCGTGCACTTGTCCATCCTGGTCTCAGCAAGATGAGCTCATGGTCCCCTGACACATGAGACCTCGGGGCACGTGTTGCCTGCTTGTCCCTGGGATGGAGGCGGGGAGTGCTGCGAAGCACCCTGTGGCTCGATGTAGGGCTGACTCGAGCTGCGAAATCCTGACTCACTCACGTAGTCACGGGTGGCACAGAGACAAAATGCCAGCCGTGGGAGGGAGAGGAGCGGGAGCACCTTGGCTGCCGCCTCGTTGGGTGGCCGAGGCCACCTACCTGCCATCTGCACCACCGCCTTTGCTCGCTGGTCATCCACTCTTCCCTTGTACTTGAGTAGAAGGAATCTTGCGATCTGGGCTGCGCCGCTGCGGATTTCTGCTACCCTCTGCTTACCCAGGCACGGAGATGGCGAGGAGGGTGGGGGGGTATTTGAGAAGGTGGAGCGAAATCCAGATGGATGGTGCTTGCCGGGTCGTGGCTCATGTGCCCATATGCCTGGGGCATCTGGATTTCCCCAGCAACGACGATTTTGCCCGTACCACCAGAGAGACACATCTCCACCTTCCCTTCCCTTCCTCCCAGAAATGGAGAGGCAGAGGGTTCTGGCTGGGGTGGAGAACCGTGGAACCCCTCTCTCTGCTCATGTTCCTTGCAGAGCAGCATGATGGGGATGATGACGTTGTGCATTGCCAGCCCTCTGCGCCAGCACCCCTTCAAGTAACACAAGCTCCTGGCCTCAGCTAGAGGTGTGGCCGCATCACCACCTCCCTGTCCTGTCCCCATCCTGGAAAATTTTGATGTCCCTTTCTATGGGGAGCAGCCATAACTGGAAGTTAGAATAAATGAAAGGGGCCAAGGACCTTTTTCTGTGCTTTTGGGAAGGAATTCATTAGCTGACCCTTGACCTATCATCTTATAGATGAAGAACTTAGGCAGTTTGAAGTAAATGGGTACAGACTTACCCTCATTATTATTCCTTTTGCACAGCACTCCATGCGTTGTGTTGGAGCCTCCTGGGAGTTTCAAATTTAGATACAGTAGTTGAGAATACAGTAATGCCCCAAGGCAGAATCTGTTATACTTGTTGGAAATCAGCCGTCACACCAATAAGTTTATTTAAAGAGCCCTCAAGTTTCTGACCCTCATGGTGGCAGAAATGTTTGGAAACACGTTGGCATCATCGGAGCATCATTGACAACCAGCTGGCTGTTGTTGGCATTGACAATGTCCTGCATAGATTCTGCATAACATGAAAGTCAGGCTTTTTGGAATTCTGGCTTCATGAGAGCTTTGGTTTGCTTTTATTTTCTAAAGGAGGCAAGTTCCTAGTCCTGTTGGTTTGATCAGAAGTTTGCAAACGTGCAAAGCAAAGTTGCTAGAGCTCGCATAGCACAGCAAGAAGATTGCATGCATGTGTGTTGTACAGTGCTGTGCACATGCTCTCATCCTTCCTGTAGCCCCATTCCTAAACCTTTTGCTCTCTCTTCCTAGCTTTTCCTCTGCAGCATTTGAGGCTTTGTTCCAGCTCCTTAAAAAAAAAGCATCACCATTTTATCCAAGTAATTGCACAGCAGAAGTAAATCGTGCCAAATGTATAAACACATGCATGGCCCATTGCTTGGCTGAAGTTGATAGAAGGGGAGCAGTGGTTTTGCTATGGGTGCCAAATTTGGTTGTTTCGGGGTACTCGTCCACAAAAAGCCCCAGTTGCAACTGAGCCTCCCTCTGTGTGATGTCATAAAGGATGCAGCAGCGCCTGGTTACCGCACGATTGCATCACCCATCTCCGAGTGACAGGAAGCTGCGGCCGCTTCTGGTGCCAAGCAATTTATTTCCAGTTCATGGTTTGGCCAGTCCCTATTTAAGCTCCCTCGTGAAGGGAGAATATTTCCAAGTTTTTGATGAGCATGGAGCCCAGGTATTGTAGTTCTGCGGCTTCTGCTGTCTTTCCTCATTGCTGTTCTGACTGCAGCTCTGATTTAAATATCTACCACATGCTCATTTCTGGATCTGGCTAGCTTTATCTGTGGAACTTTTTCCTGGGCAGTTGCTTTCCCTTTGCTTTTCCCATTTGGTTAGGACCCAATGGAACCTTAATTAGAGCCAGAAATAGCCAGAGCGGCAGGCTTCTTCATCTGCTAAAATTTTAATTCCTGGATTTTCAAGCTTGAGCCAATTAATTGACCAGCTACATGTTAACTGATGGTTAGAACTTGACCCTCCTCCCATTTAATTGGTAGGGTTAACAAGCAAAGACCCAGAGCTGAGGTCATGCTGATGGTTTCTTTTTCCAAATATGATAAGAGCAAAATATTAAACTATGGCCTTTCCTTCCAGTTTGTCTCCAAGAAAATCAGTTTTTTCCCCTTTCCTGGTGAACACAGCATGGTTTGCAAGTGAATTCACTCTGACCACTTGCCAGGATTAGTGATTTGTTGCTGGAAAAAAAGGAGCAAAATTTTGTAACATTTTTCCTTTCTGATTGCCTCAAGGCAGTCCGACTCTTTGTGGGTGACTAGTTCACAAGACTACCTTTCTTTTGCACACTAAAATCATGGGATACTGCAACCAGTAGGAGTTGGCCAGGATGCATTTACAAGGCAATGGTTTTGCTCCACTCTCATGGGCTTTCTCTGCTGCAGTGCACATGGGTGAAGGAAAGGAGAACAACTCCCCAGCCTTTGTCTACCGTATCTCCCAGTTGGATTGGTGGTGGCGATGCCAGTTTGGATGTTCTGTCTCAAATACCAGAACATCCTACGGTGTCCCACTCTCTGTATTCAAAAAGGTCAGAGTTTCCTCTTAAGAAGATGGGAGATGCAGAAAGCCATAGAAAGGAAGTTTTGACCGGAGGAAGCCAACCTTTGCTTAACCAAGCTGTTGATTCAACTAGCTCAGGACTGAGAATGATCCCATTCCTGGTCAGAGCTTATCATCAGTCCACACAAAGACATGTGTTCATGTGCATTTACTTTCATGTGCGCTGGGCAATTTTTGCTGTTGCTGGGTGTGCATGCATTCAGTTTACTCCATGACACATGTACCTATGTGATCAGGCATCCTCATTCAGTATCATGAGGGGTTCTAATGAGAAATAGGCTCACAGGACGAGCTATGATAGGCAGGCGATTAGTAGCACACACAGGGTAGAGGCATGCAACTTTATATCATCATCATCATGATCTTGCATGATCTTATATTCTACCTTTTTCCCCTTGTGAGGAGCTCAAGCAGCTTTCATAGCTCCATTTTATCCCCACAACAAAACCCCTGTGAGGTGGGTTGAACTGAGAGGGAGGGGGAGTGACCCACAGAGCTTCATGGCCGTGTGGGGACTGGAACCTGGATCTCCCAGTTCCCCAGCCCAGCACAGTCACCCCCACACTACACCATTATGGTCTCCTTGACTTTGGACATGAACATGCATTTACCATGTGCCACGCACTTCGCATATGACTGCACACATGTGCAAATTAGAAGACCACTCCAGATTTATTTGGGATCTATCTAGAAGCAGCCCAGAGTTTTGGAAGTTTGGCCCAAATTTTTGCTGGTGGTGTGGGATGGGAATTGATGAGCAAGAGGGGGTGAAACCGCCTTCCCTGCGGTCTTGGAGAGGGGTAGGATTTCAAGGGGCAGTACAAGTCCTTTTTACTGCGGGCCAACATGCCTGCATCCTCGTGAAGTCCAAGGATATTATGCATGGTGATGAGCTAGTGGATAGTGGAGGGAGGTTCTTCTGACACTGATTGGAGGGAGATTCAGCAGATGAAAGGAAAGATTGGAATTTACGCCCACGAGACGTAGGCATGAGCACCCATCAGAATGGCTTTAAAAGGTGACTGGACAAATTCAGTGTTACTTCCCATATCAGAGGTGACATGCCTCTGTACATGTGTGGGGAACATGGGTAGGGGAGTGCTGTTGCACTCCTGTCCTCCTTGGGGGTTTCTCGGGGGGTTAGCCACTCTGTGAGGAGAATGCTGGACTAGATGGACACTTGGGCCTGATCCAGCAGGACCCTTCTTTATGTTCTTGTTTATTTTAAATTTCAGCAGCGACCAGGACAGGGGGCGGCTCACCCCCTCGCCAGATATCATTGTCCTTTCTGATAATGAGGCCTCCAGTCCCCGCTCCAATTCCCGCATGGAAGAGAGACTTAAGGCTGCCAATCTGGAGATGTTCAAAGTAAGTGCAGCCTTGGACTGAACGACCGAAAAATTAAGACTTGTTGAGCATCGAGGGCATATGCAAACGCACAGGTTACCCGGAACGTTACACCAGGCAGAAGAATACAGCCCTTGTTTCTTAGTTTGGAGCTGTGGTGGAGCGACCTGCTTGGGACTGCCAAAAGCCTTCTCTGCTCTGCAGTCTTAAGTGTGTGTAACTGTCAGGGCTTTCGCCGTGGAGTCTTGGGATTCATTCTGGCCTGCAGCTGCACTTTCTTCACATACACTGGTGAGGGAAGTCTGACACCTAGTGACTGAAGATGCCACCACAGGCTGCACACTTGTGGGCACATCAAAATTAACTGATGCCTTTTCAAAACCCCAAATCCTGAAGCAACCCAACCCCCCGCCCCCTCGATCCTCTTAATATGCCCTCCAGATTTCATGATCTTGGAGTTACGGTGCTGAGGGATGATCCTGTCCGCCTTTATTATTGTAGATGTGTGTGACTGGGTTCCAGAAAAGGTGTAGACACCCTTGTGATGCTAGCTGGAGCCAAGAAGGGGTGGGATTCCTGCACCTGTGGGTAGTCCTTTGGTACCAAAGCCTAGCAGGTATGAGCTGAGCAGAAAGGTACAAGCACCTCATAAACTCTGTGTTGCTTCTCCACAGGGAAAAGGCATAGAGGAAAGGCAGCAGCTCATCAAACAGCTCCGGGACGAGCTGCGGTTGGAGGAGGCACGGCTGGTGCTGTTGAAGAAGCTACGGCAGAGCCAGCTGCAGAAAGAGAACGTGGTACAGAAGGTGAGGCGCCAGCCAGCAGTCGGGCGGGCCCTTCCGGTGGCAAAATCCCACCTTAGACTTCTGTCCAGAGTGCACCAGTCTTGCCTTGAACATTTAAACAGTTGTGCTCTAACCCACAAGGAGGCTGTGCATAACATTGGTCTCTGCTCCACGTTGGGGCAGCGCCATCACCGCAAGAGGATTAGGATCCAGGGGGCACTTGCTATTTTTCCAAAGCAGTGAGCTTGTGGGCAAAGCACAGCCCTACCTCGTTTTCTGACTGAGTGAGCAGTAGGAGGCAAGATACCAGAAGGAGCTCCTATGTGAGCTTTCCCACCATTGCCACATGGCGAGCCTCTTTATCCTTCTGGGAGCTGATGCAGAAAAATCCATGTTGCCTTTTCTGGGTGTTGCATGAACCTTGCCCCAGTTCTAATCCAGAAAATGTGTCTTCTGGGCATTAGAGATGTTGGACATGCTCTTCCACATTCTCCATTAACAGTCACAAAAGAGCCCTTGTTTTCTTTTTCTCTGCCTGCTAGACTCCCGTTGTCCAAAACGCAGCCTCTATTGTCCAGCCATCTCCTGCCCATGTCGGACAGCAGGCTCTGTCCAAAATTCCCTCCAGGCCTGGAGCTCAAGGGGTTGAGCCCCAAAACCTCCGGACATTACAGGTAAGGAATCTCTGGATTGTGGCGTGCTTACAACTGTGTTTTCTCCTTTGCTTTTCCTTCCTGGGCTACTGAGGCAGAGCCCCTTGGGTTGTGCTGGGAGATGATGCACCTCTAATTGTGAACAGCAGCAGAACAACCCCCACAATAGTAGGTGTTCAGAAGTGCTTTTAATCTAGGCCAAGCTGAATCTAAGTAGGATGGTGCTTTTGCACTCATATACCATTTGTGGGGGGTCCTTCAGGGAGCAGGGTGACCACTGTGAGAACAAAATGCTGGACTAGGTAGATCCAGCATCAGGGCTCTTCCGATCTGCTTAAGTTAAATGCTTGAGAAAGAACATCCAGGGAACCTGGGTGGAAAATAACAGAATGAACTATAACAGCAAGAAGTCCAGAGTTCTTCATTTGGGGAACAAAAATCAAACGCCCACTTAGGATGTTTTAGAACAGCACGTGTGAACAGGATCTTGGAGTTGTTGTTGTTAGTTGTGAAGTCACGTCAGACCCATTGCGACCCCATGGACAACATTCCTCCAGGCCTTCCTATCCTCCACCATCCCTTGAAGTCCACCCAAGCCCACACCCACTGCCCCAGTGACCCCATCCAGCCACCTCATCCTCTGCCATCCCCTTCTTCTTTTGCCATCTATTGTTCCAAGCATTAGGCTCTTCTCCAAGGAGTCCTTCCTTCTCATTAGGTGGCCAAAGTATTTGAGTTTCATCTTCAGGATCTGGCCTTCTAAAGAGCAGTCAGGGTTGATCTCCTCTAAGACTGACTGGTTTGATCTTCTTGCAGTCCGAGGGACTCGCAGGAGTCTCCTCCAGCATCGCAATTCAAAGGCCTCAATCCTTTTGCGCTCAGCCTTCCTTATGGTCCAGCTTTCACAGCCATACATTGCAACTTGGAGTTGTAGTCAACCAGAAACTGCATATAAATCAGCAGTGTGATGTGAATAGAAAAGGGAAATTAAATTTTAGGTTGCATAATAGAAGTAGGAATAGAATAGTTCCTAAATCACTGGATGGAGTAGAGTAACAGTTCCACTCTGCACTTGCCAGACTTCATCTTGACTATTGTGTCCAGTTCTGGAAAACATACTTCAAGAAGAATTCCGATAAATTGGGATTATTTAAGGGAAGGGCATCATGTGTTAAGGGTACTAAGAAATAAACTTATGTGATTAAAGATTGAACTAGGCATAGTTATCCTTGAAGAAGACTGTAGGGGGGGTGTGATTGTCTTTTTCAGCTGGTTAAAGTGCTGTCAGACAGAAGAGGGCTGCAACCTGTCCCGTTTAAGGGTGTAGGGCATGGAATGCACGGCTTAACTTGTGGAAAGGGAGGTGTTGGTTGCAATGAGCAGGCAGTTGGCCTGGATGGCCCTGACTGGCCGCTTAAAGCTCCATGACTCTGCAAAGTCCGCTGTTTCAGAAGGCTGCCTTTCTCTCATCTGAGGAGGAAGCTGCCCTCCCTTTGCAGGGGAACAAGATTTTTCCTTCTGATAAGAGTTAGGGCTGATAAGAGCTGATAAGAGTCAGGGATCGGAAGAAGGGAGCCATGTTGTGTTGAAAGAGCTCAAAGGTCCGCCTGTTCGCTCGTGCCCTTCCCCTCACAATGGTCTCAGGGCCATGAATGGTGTGTGCTGACTTCTGCCCGTAATGGGACTGCTGGGGCAGGCAGGGTCCTTGCATGACTCCTCTCATATGCATATATCTTCGGAGTTAAAAGTCCCATCATCTCTGGTCCCCCTGCCAAGCAAAATGCGATCGCCTTCCATCAGCAGGTTGCCATCAAAAGACTGTCTCCTCCGAACTGCGTGGTGTGAACAAAGGCTCTCCCCCAGGAGCCCCATGCGGTAATGCTCACAAAGCCACACCGGCACCCAGCAATCACAGAGAGGAGTGTAGTCATGGGAGAGCTGTTGAAAAATGGATCGTGTGGTGTTCTCAGGATAGCAAGCCTTTCCAGCAGAGCAGCGCGTCTTTTCTTGCAAGGGAAACCCGCTTGCTTCAGTCCGTTAGTCCAGCCCTGCAAAGATAAGCACGCAGAAACAGCGACTTTTAGCTCAGAGTTATGCTCATACCGCATCTGCTTGTGAAGCCGCTTTTATGTTCACAGAGCGGGTTTTCCTCTTGTCGCAGGGGAGGGCAGTGCCCGTTTTCCCAGGCAGTTGGCTCGCGCACACCTCTACCCCTTCCCATATCATGGCAGCAGTTCCCGAAGTGCGCCGGCGCCGCACTGCCCTTTGTGTGAGCCCTGCAAGGGGGAAGGACAGAGAGCATGGCCCTTTCATCGGCGCCCATGCCAAGGGAATGCCGTTCTCCATGCCATTTTCTTAAGCTGCGTTCACAAAGACACACCCGCAGTCTCATGCTGCCTGCCCTGTTGTAGGCAATGTCACCAGTTCAAAGACCAGGGGTGTGAAGGCCGATCTAATGTCCTTTGGGGGAGGTTCCAAATGGATTTGAGGGCATGTGCTTGGTCTGGCTTGGGGGTAAGGAGGTGGCCTTAGCACCTTTCGAATGGGGGAAAATGCATAGATTTTATTCTTGGTCCACGTGTTGCCTGTTTAAACTGCACGTGGTTTTAGAGAGACTCTTTTCTAGACCACTTTCAGGGAGACTGAACATGGGGCTCTTTGCATTTAATGCAGCCATTCTGCTACTGAGCTGTGAGGCCTTCTCCCCCAAAACAAGCATGATGCTGGTCCTCATGATTCTGAAGAGAGGACTGCTGGGAACAGAACCTTGGAAGCTGCCTTATTCCGAGCCATGCCATTGGTCTGTCTAGCCCAGTGTGCTGTTTGTGGGTGGGCAGCCTCTCTCCAAGGGGCCTGCTTGGCCTGACCCGGGGTTGCTGGGAGCTCACCCTGAGCTTAGGTGCTTAAAAGGGATGGACTGCGGCCTTAAAAGGGATGGACTGCGGGGAAAAACGACAGAGGGTTATAAAACTCTGCACAGCGTGGAGGAAACGAACATTGGCTTGATTTTCCTCCGTCCATAACACACGGGGCCACCTGTGGCCAGGGGCCAAAGGAGCCTCATGTACGTGCACACGCCCCTAAATTGAACTGGCTGCAAAGGCGGCATGCTTGTGCACATGGTTTCTGTCCCACCTTTCCGCATATCGTGCCCAAGGGAACGTTCAGTTATCACAGTAGGAAGTGGAACTTCCTGCAGAATGGCTCATGTGCCGCTCAGCCCCGTCCTTTCCCCAGGTACTCTGCTCCACCTCCCCTTCCCAGGCTTTCCAGTCCCTCTCTCCGACAGCAGAAACTCAGCAGGGCCCATCCTCCGCCTGTCATTTGGGAGCGCCTTCCCCCACAAGTTCTCCGTAACAAAATCCACTTCTGCGGACGGCTTGGGGTGTCTCCAAGCTCCCTGAGCTCCCTCTCACCAAGAATGGGCCCATTGTCACCACATAAGGCAAATGAGGTTGCCTTTGCTGTAGGCATGCGTTTCAGTGAAGGCATCTTGTGTCTCGGATTCTGCAGCGGGATCCTGCATCAGCTGCAGCCCAGAGTCATGCGGCCCATGCAAAGGTGGGCCATTTGGCCTAGGCCTCAGGCAGGTTGTTTGAGGCATGGTGGGCACGGGGGACAGGGTGGGGGTGCTGCGATCCCGCGATGCCCCTCCCTCTGGAGAGGGCCAGGGTTCCCTCTGCTCCTGGCCCTCAGCAGTTGGCACAGTGGGCATGTATCCAGCAGGCTTTTAGCGGGACCTGCTCTTTTGCCTTCGCAAGTCAGCCAGCCAGCCAGCCAGTACCATGGCTTCCCTAATGCCTTACCTGTGGACATTTTATGCATTCAGTGGTTTTGTGTTTTGCTGGAGGAGGAAGAGAATTGTAGCACGTGTGTCTGAATCTTTACTATATGTCTCTTCAGCAAATAGTTAGCCAACTAGATGCCTTCCAGTTGTTTCGGACTACAGCTCCTAGCTTTCATAGAAACAGAGCGAGTCAGAAGGGACCTCCTGGGCCATCTAGTCTGACCCCCAGCTGGCCCCGCTCATAACATACCTCCCATGTGCATGTCCAGCCTATCCTTGAACCGTCCTGGCCATTGGCCACGCTGGCTGGGGCTAGAAGCAGTTGAGGTCCAAAAGAACTGGAGGAAAGTCGCAGTAAGCAGGATGGGCTGAAGTTTTGTCGAGGTAAAGCCACTGGCCACTATTCCTCTGTAAATGGGATCTCGGAATATGCCCGTCTAGGGAAGTGGGGCTGGGAATAGGCTTCCTACTTGGCCCTGCGGAGCCGGGGAAAAGGCTCCGCACTTTGCCCTGGCTTCTGTCTCTTGACATGCTGTTCGCCCCTTCTGTTTCTTTGGGCAGGGTCACAGCGTCATCCGGTCAGCCACCAACACGGCCCTTCCCCACATGCTTATGTCTCAGCGTGTGGTTGCGCCGAACCCCACCCAGCTGCAGGGGCAGCGCATCCCCCCGAAAGCAGGCCTCATCCGCACCACCACTCCGAGCATGAGCCCCGCCATCAGCTACCAGCCGGTGAGCAGTGCACCCCCGGGGAGGTGTGGGGGGCTGGCACCGAGCAGAGCTGGCCGGGGGTTGGTGAGGGGCAGGAGCACGCGGCCTCCAGCCGAGGGGCAAGATGGCCACCACACTGTTGCGCAGTAGCTTGACATTTTTCTCCTGCAGTTTAGCAGATGGCTGCCAGGGCGGGGTGGGAACGGGGGAGTGGCTGGTCTGGGTGGCCTTCCCCGCCAGCTGAGGTTAAGCAAGCAGCAGCGTCTCTCTGTTTTCCACCAATTCTCAAGACGTCTTGTGGCGAGGCTGCTGCCCAATATGGGGATGGCTGCCAACCTGAAGGGTTTTGAGGTCAAGTTATGCAAGACCCAGAGGAGGGCAGAGTCCGCGAGGGCCATTCGCCCCTTGGCGGATCCGAGCGTATGTACGTCTACGCTCCAACAGCCTCTGAATGTCAGTGCTGGGCCAGCAGGGGCCCCGGTCATGGCCACTGTGGATGCAGGGTCCCCAGCTCTGGTCCCTGCCTCCCATAACCTCCCCACCTTCCTTCTGCCCCCCGCCCCATGTCCTCCCCAGCAGTCCAGCTCAGCGGTCCCCTGCCAGCGCACCACGTCCTCTGCCATCTACATGAACCTTGCCTCCCACATCCAGCCGGGCACGGTGAACCGGGTCTCCTCGCCACTGCCGAGCCCCAGCGCACTCAATGACGCCGCCAACTCCCAGGCGGCCGCCAAGCTCGCCTTGCGCAAGCAACTGGAAAAGACCCTCCTGGAGATCCCGCCCCCAAAGCCACCGGCCCCTTTGCTCCACTTCCTGCCCAGTGCGGCCAACAGCGAGTTCATCTACATGGTGGGCCTGGAGGAGGTGGTGCAGAGTGTCATCGACAGCCAAGGTGAGCACCGTGGCCGGGCGACGCGGGAGCGGGGCTGCCCAGCCGGGTGAAGCAGCGGGGCAGGGCCGAGCAAGACACCCCATCCCGCTTCGGGGGCTCCTGGCGCGCTCGGCCCGTGGAACGCGGGGCCACCCTGCATGCTCGCTCGGCCTCCGAGCTGTTGGCTGCTGCTTGGAGGGAGGTGGGGGTCAGGCGCTGCAGCTCTGCACCCCGGGAGTGCCACTCCCGCCCCCTGCCCTGAGCTGGCTTCGCAGCCGGATCGTGGTGCTCAGGGCGGCTCCTCTGCCCCCTCTTCCAGGCAAGGGCTGCGCCTCCCTCTTGCGAGTGGAGCCGTTTGTCTGCGCCCAGTGCCGCACGGACTTCACCCCACACTGGAAGCAGGAGAAGAACGGCAAGATTCTCTGTGAGCAGTGCATGACCTCCAACCAGAAGAAGGCGCTCAAGGCCGAGCACACCAACCGGCTGAAGAACGCCTTCGTCAAAGCTCTGCAGCAGGAGCAGGTGAGCTGCGGTCGCTCCTGGGGGAGAAGGGGCTCTCGGTGCCGCGAGGAAGCGGCTTTCCCGGCTGCCTTCGCGCGAGGTCTGCAAACTGCCCCGGCCTGCTGGTCGCACTTGCTTTTCCCGTGACTGTTGTTCTGCTGCTCCTTCCCAAGGGGTCCCAGGAGCTGCTGTCTTTCCTCAGGGCCTCAGGAACTCTTGCTCTGGAAGCAAGCAGGGAGTTCTCTGCCCGAGCTTCCAAAGAGGAGAAAGTTCCGCCTGTCTGCAAACAGTGGGCTGCCGGGCATTCGGGAGATGCAGCAGCCCACACGCCGGCAGCGTCCCAGAGCTGGTGGCTGTGGAGCCGAGGCCGAGCGCACGCCCAGCATCGGTCGCGCGGCCCGGCTTGCCACAGGCGTCTCCCTCCCTCCCCTGCAGGAGATAGAGCAGCGGCTCCAGCAGCAGGCAGCCTTGTCGCCGACCACCGCTCCCGCCAGCGTGTCCAGCGTCAGCAAACAGGAGAGCATCATGCGACACCACACACTCCGCCAGGTAGGGCCCCCCCCGTGCGCGACCTGTCCCTCGTGTCATGGGCGGCACCACCCGGGATACGCCCCTTGCCCCTCGGTTCCTCTCTTTCCCTGCTGCCAGGCTGTGGGTATCCCCGGGATGGGCTGTTCCCAAGCACCTTCTGTCCCCTGAAGGTAGTGGCATAAGAACTCGGGCAAGGACAGCCAGGTGGCTGCCCTGGTCCCCCCAGCAGGCTTGGCTTCTGGCCAGGCGAGCACCGAATCTTGGTCCAAGATCAAAAGGGAGAGCTTAACTTAGTACTTCCCTCCACAGAGAATCCTAAGTTCATCTCTGGCCTCTGCGGATCTGAAAATACCGAACAGACCAGGCCTGAGGGGGTTTGAGGCCACGGGTCACTGCTCGGCAGTCGGGACGTTCGGTGTCCGTGGCCCAATTCCCCACTGCTCTCTTTCTCCCCTGCTCCAGGCACCCCAGCCCCAGAACACCCTGCAGCGTGGCATCCCCACCTCGGCCCGTTCCATGCTGTCCAACTTCGCGCAGGCCCCCCAGCTCTCCGTCGCAGGGGGCCTCCTCGGCATGCCAGGTATCACTCGCCAGCCTCGGGGGAGGAGGGGAGCGCCTGCCAGACGGGCTAGTCGCCAAAGTGTTTCTGGGGGTGGGGTTGTGGGGGCACTTAGGCTTTGACCAAGTTTGTTACGGGTGGGGGAACGACTTGTCACGGCATCCAGATGGTGGGTGGCGTTGCGAGCTCAGAGGACCCCTGCAGGCTGCGCTGGGGGAACCAGAAGTGTTCTGGCACCTCCGTTTTTGGACTGAGACTCGCTTCCAGCTTCATGGCATGCCCCAGGTCCCCGACCCTGAGGCACCCCAGAGCGTGACCAAGGGCCAGAAGGTCGCACCCCCAGATGCACACCGTTTTCCGGCTGCCTTTCTCCGTGCCCAGCTCACCTCCCTTCATTCTCCTCCTCGGCGCCTCGTTTTCCTTTCTCCCCTGAACCTCAGCTTTTCCGGAAAATTCAGTCAAAGGAGAGCGAGAGAAATGGGGGGCAGCGAAAGGCAGTCGGTGGAGCGTAAAGGGGGATTGCGCCGATTCCGGTCGCAGGAACGAGCCGGCTGGAGCTGCCCAGGTCAGCACCTGTCGGCCTCATAGCAGGGACGACGCGCTCACCTTTCTGTGTCCTTCCCAGGTGTCAACATCGCCTACCTGAACGCTGGGATTGGGGGCCACAAAGCATCAAGTCTGGCGGACCGGCAGCGGGAGTATCTTTTAGATATGATCCCGCCGCGCTCTATATCGCAGTCCATCAGTGGGCAGAAATAACGCCAGCCGCGCCCTCCCCTTTCCTTCCCTGCAGCCCCCACCCCGGCCCAGCCCCCTCATCCATCGCATGCAGTGCCTGTACTGGTGCCCACCATATGTGGAGGAAAAGACAAAAAAAAGTAAAAAAAAGAAGAAAACGAAACAAAACTAAACAAAGAAACAAAAAAAGACCAGAACATTTCACAACTTCAGCAACCTCCCCTCATCCGGAACCATCTCCCTCTTTCTCTCTCTCTTCTCTGGATTTCGTTAACGGGGAGAGGCCCGGCCCACCCAGCCCAAGGTTGGAACGCATCTGCTTGGACCCTGCACTATACGCGTTAACGCTTGTTTTCCACTCCTTTTGTTTTGCTTTTTACTTTGTAATTTTTAATTGTTGTGTCCTCTTATTTTTAATATTCCCCTTTTGCTTAAATGGACGGTTGCCCTGCTCCTCACCGTCGCTTCGTTTGGCTTTTTTTTTTTTTTAAGCGTCATCTTGGAAATATTAACACTTCCAGAGGGTCCCTGGTGTTCTCTCCTGCCTTCAGCCAGAGCAGTATTGAGGCCGGGGGAAGGGGCCACCCCCACCCCCATGTGGGCACGTCTGAGCATCTCACCCACAGGGCGGTGGCCGCAGTTGGCCGCGTCTCGCCGCCCAGCCCTGGACCAGAGAGGGGGCGAGGGCCCTGTCCTCTGCCAGGAAGGGGGCCGTGCATGCTTCCGTCTGGAGGGCGCCAGCCAAGGTCGGCGCCGGCCATTTTTCTCCCAGGACGCCATGCTCGGGACAGGAGGCCATCGGTGAAAGGGGCGTGGCGCCGTGGGCTCTCAAACGCACTTTTGTCCCTGCTCCTCCACCTGCCGGCTGCTCCCCGGCCCCACCACCAGGCCCAGGGGAGCTGCCGGCCCCACCTTTGCGCCCCGAAGAGTCGCGCCGCAGCCGCGGGAAAGGTCACCCAGCAGTGGCGGGCAGCCCACCGGGCAAGGCGAGCAGAGAGCGACGTGCCAGCAGCCGGAGCAGCTCACACCCCGCAGACCTCGCGCCCGCCCAGCCCGTCCACCTTCGCCCGCCCGCCCGCCCGCGGTGGGGTGGGTCCAGGGAGCTCCACACGAGGCCCGGCCGCTGAGCGAGGAAGGCGCCTCCTTGGCCTCCTCTGCCACCGCCAGCACGTGTGGGAGCGGGCAGGTGGCCCGTGGTCGGACCTGGAGGCATTTACCCGGCGTCGGTCGCACCGCTGAACGGCTCGGTCGCAGCCCGGGCTGCTGCAGAGACTCCGCAAGGTTTATCCGCCGCATTTTATTTTCAGCACGGCGCCTGTCTTCTCTGCTCCATACCCTGCGGCCCAAGGAGTGGAGGGTGTGCTCGTCGCAGTGTAGGGCTCCCCTTCCTCCTCTGCTTCCTCGCCAGCCACCCGCCTCCTCAAGAAGCATCCACCCAAGAAGCAGCAGCCACAGCTCCCTGGCCCGAGGTTCCCTCCGGAAGCCGCCTGGCACCCGTGACACGCACTTGCTCCCCTGCCTCCGTCCACTGAGCACTTACATTTTGCAGGAGGCGGAAGGGACGCTGGTGCGTGTGCCCGCCCAGTGCTCCTTCAAACCTAGTGACTGGTCGACGCGGCCTTTCCCAACCGGGTGCTCTCCAGATATGTCCCATGGCAACTCCCAGCGTCCCCCAGCCAGCGGGGTGTTGTAGTCCCACACGCCCGGAGGGCATCTGGCCCCGGAAGGCTGGGCTTGCGCTGCGGGCGCGTGGCGGCGCGTGTACAGGCAGATGTGTGGCTCTATCGGCGCGTCCGCGTGGGCCCCGCCGCCCAGTGTCCGCGTTTCTCCAGGAAAGCGTCTTCACGTGTCTGTCCCCTGCAGCGCCTGGCTTGGCTGCAGCTGCGATGGCCTTCTCCTCCAAAAGGTTACGTTGCGTCTTAAGTCATCCCCTCTGCTGACCCGGCACAACACTCACGAGCAGCTTTCTCTCTCCACGAGTAACTCGGACCGCTTTCCGGAACTTGGCTGATGGTCTCCAGCCCCTGCCCCACCTCCCTTTTAACCAAAGCCCAAGTGCCATGGACCGCCCCAGCCCCCTGGAAATCAGGCCTTGCCAAGAATCCCAGCACCACCCCCATCTTGGTTACAATTAGGGCTTTGTTCTTTTTGGTATGATATGGTATTTTTTACTTGTTCGTTTGGTGTGTTTGTTTGTTTTAAAGAAAAAGACGATGGTGATGACGACGACGATGACGACGTTAAGACATGTGCAATAATTTTTGCCTCCATTGTAACGGCCGAGGCAGAGGCTTTGACAGCGAATTCTGAACGGTAGCAGGCCAGACAGTGCTTTGGGGACGGGGGTGGGGGGGTGGGCAGGGGTCCGGCAGGCTCCCCCATCCCAGTCCGGAGCGTGGGTTTCATCACTGGGGCACGTTCCGTGTTTCTCCCGCTTGCTTCCTTCCCCTCCTCTCGGGTTTTGCAGTTGAGGGTCAGCTGGCCAGAAATTCATCCTCCCCCCGCAGCCCACTCTCTGACATCAGTGGGTCGGCTGGAAGGACGGAGCAAATGGCTCGCGGTTCACATGCCCCTGCAGCGGGAGGGGAGAGCACGGCTCCGTTGGCCTCGCCAGGGCTCAAGCTGGTGTGTAGGAAGGAGAATTCTTCCGGGGGCAGTTCTGTTGCCCCCACCCTGGGGGGAGGGGGTCGTGCTCGCCCACGGGCCGTGCCCCCTCGGGGAGCGGCGTGCAGTGCTGCTCGAGCAGAGAGCAGGAGGGGGCCCCTTTGCACTTGCGCCCAGAGGTGGAACTTGCTCAGGTGTAACAGGTGTGTGTGAGCGTGCGCGTCCCCCGCATCCCCCTCCTCACACACAGCGACACCCCACTCTGGGACCTGGCTTTGTCTGGGGGAGCCACAGACCCCCCCCACTCCGTTAATGGCTCTTCCCAGTGGCCCCCTTTCCCAAAACAGACTCGGAAGACTTCCCGCCCTCTCCCCCTGCCCTCTGCTTTCTCTCTCTGCTTTTTTGGATGTCCTTTCAATAAATTTTATAAAATGGTACAGAATTAAGGGTTTCCTTTCCCAGCTTCCGTTTTGCCTTTCTTTTACAGCTTGGTTGTAGATGCTTTGTGGTTGATGCTGTTTTATTTTGTTCTATTATTATTTTTTTAATCTGTGTTCCCCCCAGGAAAAAAAGAAGCACACCTTGTGTGCCCTTTTCCCTCAGCCTCCATTCCTGGTCCCTTTTTTTTTTTCCCCCTTCCCCCATTCTTGCGCTCCCTCTTCCAGACGGGATTTTCTTCGCTTAACAGTACTTGCTGCCGAAACTATAACAAGGACTCCTTCGTTGTATATAAGCTATTTCTTGACACATTTAAAAAAAAACAAACAAACAAAAAAATAAGGTTGAGGAGAAAACCCTCTGATACAAACCGGAAATTGTACATTGTGTAGAGAAAACAAAACGACGAAAAAAAAGACAGCTTAGCCATGAATATTGTGAAAGTTGTTAACGTCCTTTTGTAGTGTGAACTTTTGTGTATGACATTAAAATGTGCAAAAGGCGGTTTCCTGGAAACCGGCGGGGCGGGCAGGTGGCTCTTGTGGGGAGGCTATGCAGCTTATGTCACACACTCCACCCCCCAAGCCCTCTCCCCCCCAAACGCCGAAAAGAACTCGGTGTAGCCCTCCTTCTCCCACCCACCACAAAGGTGCCTTTTCTTCCTCTTTTGAGAGACAGGGAGACGCCCCCCCCCGCCCCGCACGCTACCAGCTCACACAGCTCGGGCGGAACCTGGGGGCCTTGGACCTCTTTCCCTGCCCCGGCCCCCTCGAGCACTCATTGGCGTCCAAAGGGGGTGACCCTTTGCTTCTCCCCCAGGGCAGGGGGTGAGCAACGTAAGTATTAATCTTATTATTAAACTGTATATATATTTGCACTGTTTATAAGGAATTGCTTTAGCTTTGGGACAATATATGTTTCTTTTGGCATTTAGCAGCAGGCTTCCTTGGGCAGATGGGACGAGCCCACAGCGGGCAGGTGGAGTCCCCTGTAGCGATTTTTCTAAGGGGGGCCCCCTCTCTGCACTGTTTGACCCACCACCTGTTGGCCACCAGGCACGTCTCGGCTCCTCTCCGTCATTCCTGGCTGCAGCCTTTTCCACCTCTGATTCTTTCCCTCCTGCTTGGGATCTCCCCTTTCCCTCCCGGGGGAAATGTCAGCTTTCTGTAGTTCCGAAGGCATGCGGGATCACCCCCTAGTTAGGGCTGCTGTTGGTATTTCCACTCACCCACCCACCCTGATAGGCGCTCAGGATTTGGCTTCCTCGTTATCTCTGCTTTTCTGTGTTCTGTTTTTAAACAAAGCATCTCTCCTGCCGGCGTATGGGCAACTTCTGTGACAAGTTACCGCAGTTCAGGTTGGTCACCGTCTGTGTTTTGTGTGGCCATCCCCTTCATAACGGGCTCCGTTAAGTAGGCAGAGGCGCATCTTGCACCGCGGAACACCAGTGGTCGGACCATTCGGACCCATCAGCACAGCGCTCGAATGTCTGATGTAAGAGGCGCTCCTTTTCAGTTGCCCTGTGGGACAAAAACCACCGTAGGCTCCCTTGGAGGGGCATTTTTGTGCTGCCTTGGACACCCACTGGGCGCGAGGAAACCTGTGTTTTTGTCTGGTCCTTCAGACCTCTTCTAGGAAGGACGGACTGTGAGAACATTGTAAGCAGCCTTCGCCTTGCAGAGTTGAAATTTCCTTCTTCCACCCTGTCAGAAGAGCCCATGCTCAGCCTTTAGGGACCCTCCTCCCACCTTAACAGCATGCCAGGTCCCCTTTTGAAATTAGCCCTACGGTCATCTTGGCAGTCGGGCCAAGATGGCACCATTTCACCGTTCGCTGCAGCCCGTCTTGGAGCCTCCCTGACCCGTGAGGCTTCCTGCATTTTTGGAGAATGTGTCAGGAACCAAGAGGAGGCACCTGGCTGAGGTACTTCTGAGAGGCTCTACTCCTTTTGGCACCAGCATCTCGTGCAGCATTTCGGCATCTTGAGAAGTTTGCATCTTGCTCGTTTTTAATACCTGTGGTCAAATTTCTAGTCCTCGTGACAGTTGTATGTTCAAGAAGGCACCCACGGCAGGGGCTGTCATTTTAGCCTCCAGCACGTGTGTGCGTGTGTGCGTGCGTGCGTGTGCACATCCGTCATGGCTTGTCACGCAACTCCACAGCCCCTTCATCCCTGCCACCAGTTTTTTCCCTTTAAACCAATAACCCTAGGCTTCTAAGAAAAGGCTACACCTCTTCATCAAAGATGGTTTGGAACTAGCAAACGGTTGGAGTTGAAGAAGGCATCCTGTGTGGAGCCTCAGGGGTCCACCTGTGTGCAGGCGTCTTTGCCCGGCCCCTGAGAATGGCCCGGAGGAGCCAGCTTGGCGATCTGTGCCCCTCCCTCAGCCAAAGCCGCTAGCCACCTGGCTATAGCCCAAAGGCTCCCCTGGCCCAGTCCAGCCCCCCAGATGTGGGTTCCAGCACTTATCGCTGCCCAGTCCGTGCTCCTTCACTCCCCATGCCCCTGCCCTTATAAAATATTGCCCACCGAAACAGGATCTTCTTGGCCACCTTTGGAGTCTTCAGCTGTGCTGTGCGTGGAGTGGGGCAAGCTTCGGCCCGCACGCTTCCCCCGCCTGGGAAAAGGGATCGCGCCTTTCCTTTGGTTCCCAGTGAGTTCCCGCTCCGGAGACTTTCCCTCTTGGCTTCGTGCCCCCACGGCCCTTTTCTATGCAGCTTGGCAGCCTCCCCCACCTCTCTGCCCTGCCCCCCTTGCCCTGGGTGGGGCCTCGACCCCAAAGCGCGCCGTTGCTTGCCAAAGGGCCTGCCCGGGTCTTGACAACCGGCCGCCACTTCCTACAGGGCCCATCTCCCCACTTGGCCTTCCCTCTTGCCCCTCCATGCTGGACCGCCTCCTCCCATCGGAAGGCTTTGGCATCATGGGTTTGCCCCTCAGGCTGTTACAGGTGAAACACAGGCACTGGTAAGGATGGCTGTGATTCTGGGGGCAGGACCACAGTTCGGTTTGTGTCACAACCCGATATCTTACATGGGCAGAGCGCATGCCAGCACTGGCTCTCTCTGTTGAGGGTGTCTTTGGGCCAAGAGCCTGTGAAAGCGGCCCCAGCCCACAATCAAAGGAAGAATGCTGCCCCTCCTTCCCACAAACCTTTGGCAAGATCCTCCCTCAGCCTTCAGTTTTCCTGCCTGCTCACAGCATTCAGTGCCCGTGTGTGCTAGGCATGGAGTGTTCAGACTGAATTGCAAAGCTGGGCTCCGTCCGGGATCTCGGCACCACCACACTGGGGGTGGGAAGAGAGCCGAGTTTAGATATTTTGGAGGAGGGAGGGGTAGTGGCCTGGGTGGGGGGAGGTTTCAGCTGAAGTCTTGGAAAGGAAGGAAGGGTGGCTCGGATGGGAAACCAGACCTTTTGCACAATTTTAAGAGGGCTTTTTATTTTTATTTTCCGCATTGTGTTTTTGAATCTGGTTTAAAAGGAGAAGAAGAAGAAGAAAAGCTGTTTAAATATTGCCAATTGATTATGCAGTGACCTGATTAAAAAAAATAATAATAAGCTAATTTTTGGAGAAAAGATTAAAAAAAACCTTTGTAATATTTATCACTTGCAAGCTATGTTTAATAAAGAAAGGAATGGTTTATACATTTTGATGTGGCTGTTTTGGTGGAGTTATCTTGGAGCCAAATCTTAAAATGGCAACTGTGTGTTCCAGGGCCCAGAAGCCCAAAGCAACCACTTCCGCTCTGTGGTTACCATGTGTCCTGCTTGGTTAAGCAGGATTGGTCGCTGTGAGCAGGTCCTACCGCTGTTGCTCACCCAGAAAGAGCCCACACCTCAAGATGATGGGTCCCCAAGCTCTGTGCCGCCAGTTCACCAGGCTCCTAGCCCTTCTTTTTGAGCTTTTTCGAACTGGAGATGTGGCTTGGACCTTCTGCGTGCACTGGTTCTCGGGGTTAAAAACGGGCCGCGGACCCTCTCCGTCGGGAGGTCCTTGCGAGTGCTTGGAAGTTGGCATCCCTGATAAACGGGAGGGGAGCACCCTTTGCCTGGTCCAACTCAAAAAATCAGCTTTTCGGGAATTTGGTTCTGTTTGGAAGGGCGGCATCGATGCTCCTGCTGGCCACGGAGAGCCTCGGTCGCGGCCCGTCGGTGAAAAGCGTGGCACGGAGCCAGAGGCGTGAGTGCTGTCATTTTGGCCTCGGTGGCAGCCTGCCCAGGTATGACCCGTCACTGGGAACCAGTGGGATCCACTGGTGGCACTGTGGGAAGCATGTGCTGGGCTGGGTAGACCTGTTGGAGCTGGCATGAGCACCTACCTGTCTTCTGTTCTCGCAGCCACGTTCGTTTCCATGTGCTGGTTCACATTCTACCCCATGTTAAATGCTGTTAATGTGTATGATTCCATTGACCAAAGAAATGACCGGACCCCAGAGCCATTTTTCCACTTCGTTTTTAATTTTCAACACAAGAAAGATTTCCGGACATCAGCACGGCAAGCCTCACGGTTTTAAAACCCTCAGTGATTGCTTCTGCTTGAATCAAGCTGTGAATTTGGGGGGGGGGGGGGTTGCCTGTGGGGACAGCTGTGGGAAGAAACTCTTCTGACAGGGTTCCCACTCCCCTTTTTTCAGATGCCAAACAGAAACAAAATATGCACTCTTTGGGGTGGGGAGAACCTCTCTAATTAGGGAGTTATTTTGGACTTTTCAAATATTGACCTCCTGCTTTCAGAATGCAGACTGCTTGGGTCGCTTTGCTTTTCTCAATCTTCAAGAAAAGCATTGCCTTCAGCAACAGTGAGGAATGGTAAGCTGATAATGCAACGTATCAGCTCTAGTGTTTTCACATTCCTCCCCCAGAAAAAACCCCCACTCTAAAATCTCCAATCAATATCCAAAAATAGGAGCGAATGTTAGAATAAGTTTTGCAAACCAATTTGAGGGAAAATAATACTGTGACAATCCGCCAACAAAACAGCAAGTCTGTTTTATGTTCCCCCCACCCCAATTCCTTGGTTTTCTTTGTTAGAAAAGTGAGCAGCTACTGTGGGGTTTTAAAATCGTGAGTGTTTCTCTGATCGTACGCACTGGGCCCTGAAGGGGAAGGGTGATAAGAGTGGAGTTTCTTGGTCAGTTTCTAATTCCCCTTTCTTCAACTCCTCAGCACAACCCACTTCTTCCCACCGATCCTTTATTTTCCGTTCTTCTCCATCAACCCTTGGTCCGTACTGTCTCTCTTGCATCGGATGGTAGCTTTTCCATGGCGAGGGCGTCTCCCTTCTCCAATAATTAATCTTCTGGGCAGACCCTGGCCACACCTTGTTAAAGCTCATTTCTTCATTTCACCAAACACACATTTTAAACAATTTCTTTAGGTTCAAAAGCATTTCTTCATCTCATTGGTACTAGCCATTTTTTCCTTAATAGATAGTTCCTTTCACAGTGGTTCATCGGGGGCAGAGGCCAGGCTCAAAAAATGGCAGTGAGGCCGATCACGCCATCTCCATTACATTGGTATGTATTACGGACACAAAGAGGTTGAAATATGTTAAATATCTGAAGAAAATAATGGGGGGAAAACCCTGTGTGCTTGTTCATTCATGTCAAAGCATCTGTTTCTCAGGGCACCACTGTGTATTTAGGCAGAAAAAAAGCCTACAACTGCCAATGTGCTGGGAATTGTAGTCCTTTTTCTCTGCCCAAATTTGCCTAGCATCACATCTGGACCAGAGGTGCTTATTTGTCGTGTTCTGCTAAATATGGGTCAGAAGCAACAATACTGGGCATTGTTCTATTCCCATTGGCTCCGTTTGGCCATCATGGGAAAAGTACATCTTTGTGTTGGCACCAATTTTAAATGAAGCAGGCACGAGATTAACTTCCTTGTGTTGTCAGCTATGGTGAATTAAAATCTCTGGGCAGACAAGCTTTGAAATACAGCCTGACTTGCTTTTTCTTTCTTTCTTTTAAGCCATAACTTGTTAATGTTGCATGTGTAAACTGGTTAAAAACTGGCATTTGAAGTGGTCGCGCTTCTTTGGCAGTAATATTTTTATATGTTACTAATGTGCCTGGATTTATCTGCTGAGCTGAAGTGAAGGGAAAGGGGAGATAACTGATGGTATGGTATAATGCTTCCGGTAGCTGAAAGAATGTTTGTTTTCCCAGAACTGGAAACAGCCCTGCCTTAGTTCCAATCTTGCAGATTTTCGGAAGATAGAATACCTGTCTAATAGATGCTTAGGGTTGCAATGTTCAGTTGGTTGATCCAAAATGTTTTGATAGACTAAAAAAGTGTCCACAATTAATCAGGCAGCTGATTTTTACTTTGTGAGATGGACGGAATTTTGCCAGAGGCAGATTCCATCATTTCTGATTGGTGTAACTTCAGGAGCCCTTTTGGATTCAAGGATAATGCAGGAAAAAAACTGGGATTTTCTAAAGCAAGTCTCAAACGTATTTTTAAAAGCCAAAGGATTTGAGAATGGAATGGAAAAAGGAATTTAGTTGCAAGAAAGATTTCTTGTAGAGTATGCACGTATATGGAACGTCTGGCAAAATCTATTTCTGTGCCATGTATAAAATATGAAAATAGGTTTCATGAAATGCCATGATTATGGAAGATCTATCCAGCAGCATGTTGTTGCACAGGTTTTTTTTAATCTGTGCCTTGAAATAGAAACATATCAGATGTGCAATTCTTGGAAAGCAGATCTCGTGCACCTCCGGAGGACATGCTGCCTATTCTGGGGTGGATTCTTTCTAAAGAGACGGGAACTATTCACAGGTCTTGAGTTAAGCGGTCAAGCCTAGAGGTGGCTTTCACTGACATAGCAAGATAATGTTGCTAAGGGGGCAGCTTGCTAGACCTCAGTTCCAGATTTACAGAAAATGCAATTGCCGTAAGGGTGCCAGGCAGTGCCGCTGCAGTGGCTCCCACTGGGGAAAGGAGCATTGTGTCGCCGCCTTCGACTTTAGCCCTTAAGCTAAACATTTCACAGTCTTTAAAGTTATGTGGGCACCTCCGTTACAGTTGCTCATATCTCTTTGGGTATAGTTTGTTGGCATCCCTGAACGGTTGCAGTCTTCAGGTGGCATAATGCCCCAAAATATGCAAAAGCTAGATGCTAGACTTAGTTTTCAGGAGATGCTTTGGTACAAAGCTGAAGTACTATGAAAATGACTCTTACACACACCGGTTTCTAGGTGGTCACCAAAGTTTAAAATGCGGTCATCCCTGGGTCTGGAAAAGGCTGAGAAAGGCTTTAAGGCCTTTTGTGAGCTTAATCAGTCACTGCATGCCAACAGCCCTGTTCCTGCTTTTCTCTACTTAGCTGTCGTCGTTTGGTGTGTCAGCTTAAAACGGAGGAGCCCCTTGTGCTCTTCACCGGAAGAGCTTTCCCATCTGAGGATCTGCCTGGCCTATTTGCAGGTGCCTTGGTGAATTCCTGGAAGTTTTGCAATGGTCTGGTTTAAACCAACTTTCAGGCAAAAGATCTTGTTCATGCACAGTACTTTAGGTAGAATATATGGAGGAATGTATTCACAAGCCAAACAGGAATTGGGCAATGGAAGATGGTGGTGAAGTTGGACATTGTGAGGGCCCTAAACTTTAAAAAAAAATCTGTGGGCATTTCCTAATGGGAAAGATTCCTCTGAAATTGGTAAGATTTTCTTCTGGGTAACACTGCATTGGCTCAGGCTATAACCTACAGAACCAGTGTGAGGGGATGAGCTTGTATCTTTTTGACCTCTGGGAGAAGTAAGGATTTCCCCAAATATTTTAGAAGATGCTGGTAATAAGATCCAGGGATCTTTTGTTCAAGCTGGGCTCTGGCAACGACTGAACAAGAACCTATGGGTTGAAAACGATCTTGTGAGCCGAAGAAGCCCACGAGGGACAATGTTATGGCTTTTAATTGGGAGAACTTTAGGATGTGAGGTAGGAATAAAATGCCCTGAATATAGGGACCCTGCAGTGTGGTGCTTGTGGAAACAAACCTCTCAGGGAGCTGGGTGTACAGGCAGTTCGGCCCTACCTGTGGACAAGGAGCTTTTAATCAACACTGTAGCCCCACGACGCCTTTCAGGTGTGGAGAGCGTGGTTTGTGGGGCGAGAGGAAATGGCTGCTTGGCCTTTCACGGAAAGCAAAGCCTAGATTCAAAGGGCTGCAGCTTCAAGGATACTTAGCTGAAATGTCATTTCTGTGGGTGCGTAAAGCCATGGGGTAATGTATGCGGGAGAAAGCTTTTTTTGCCTGTGTGGCCCGGTGTAGGCCACCGGTGGGCATCTCTGAATGTTGGCTGCAGCCACTGGTTTTGGACATACCTTTGGTTACTCTTGGAGCGTTGCGGGCAATGGTGGGGTGGAATATGTCTTGGTGCCTTGGCGTGGCCAACACTGGAATCTTTCTCCTTTGTCCTTGGCCTCTAACAGGCCCCTGGACTCACGTGGAACCACTGTGTGGCCCCCTGCTGTTCGAGAGCCACTGTCTATCCAAGGGAGGTGGAAAAATTCTTTTCAGCTAGAAAACATTTTTGCCTAAAGCACTAAAAATAATTGAAAAGAAAAGGGTTCGGGTATTTTTGTTTTTTGTTTTTTTTCATATTTTTGGTGGGGGAAAGGGGGAATTTTGGTTATGATTCCTAGAGAAGAAACTAGGGTGAAAGTGGGGACAGAAAAACTTCAGGATGGAGTTACCCTATTGGTACTCTCTCTTTTTTTTGTACACAAACTTTGGATGGATGGTTTTTTTTCCCCGCACACACACAGAGAGAACCCAGAGAAGGCGGGTTTTGAGGTCACTCGTGTAAGAGGAGAGTAACGCGCTCTCACATCGTCTCTGGCTGCCTGGTTGTGCTTTTCCTTCTGTGAATGAGCTGCAAATCAAAAGCAGGAAGGGAAGTGGACAGAAGGGAGCTGGCAGGACCTGGGTCTCTCTGTGTTCGCATGAACAAAGCTGGGGGTACTTCTGCCGGGGTTTGTCCAGATGGCCCTTTTTTTGGCACGGCTCACACGAGAATCGACGGTTTCCTTTCAAGGGCCAGAATGCAAGGTCAAATGACTCAGGTGTACAGCCGATTTGGAGGGACCGGGGCAGAACCTTGGTGGTCCAGGGCTGTATTTTGGCCAAATGGAGCAGGTCGCAGGGTTTACTGGTTAGTAACACCCAGGCTCCTGTTACTGGACAAAAAAATTTATTATCAGACTACTGATCAGGTGTCGGTGGGTGAACTTGTGGCGAGAAGGCCATCCCGTTGCTTCTGTGACCCAAAAGAGCCACATTTAGCGAAGATCAACGGAGGCGTCCTCCCAGCCCTGCTCCTTCGTGGCAGAAGAAGGTCTGTCGGGAACCCTTTGAGCAGACAGACTGGACCGGAAAGAGTGGGGCAGTTGTGGGAAATGCACCACACCCTGTGCCCGCACACTCACTCCTGGCCCCTCTGTGCCTCGCAGGGTGGGAATGAGTGTCCAGAGCACCGTCACCTTGCCCTGTCATGCCAGCTTTGGTGTCCGAGAAAAGGAAGAGAGAGAGAGGGGGGCAGCTTTGGCAAGAGGGAGAAAAGGGGTGAGGAGGACGAGGAGGAGGAGAGAGACACGGGCGTAGCAACAGCGTGAAGTCCCCAGACCCGAGTGCGGCACCGCAGCCCGCAGCCCTGAGGCTCTTCAGTTTGACTCTGCTCTTGGAGAACATTACGGTTCAAAATGGGGTATAATTTGGAGCCAGGCAGCTCGGATGCCAGCCCAATGCTTCGAAGTCCCACCTTCCGGGGGTCGAGTCCCCTGAAGGCAACCTGGGGGTCTATTTGGGTTCTTCCGCAAGCATTCTCCTGCCTGGCTGGCTGAAGAGCCCCAAGGCTCCAGGGCGTGGGGCCAGTGTGGTCTTTGCGCCCGCGGGCATCCCGCTCCCGCTCGGAGAAACACGGAACGCTGCGGCTCTGTCCATGTACACTTAAAGCTCTACATCTTTGGAAAGTAGTTCAGCAACTTTTGTGACTCCTCTTTAAAAATATTTGGATTGCGACGCAAAAGACGCTCTGTAGGAAGCAGCGAAAGAAGCTACAGAGATAGGACATGGGGTGGGGGTGGACAAAGCGACCCCCTGCCCCTCATGACGGAGGGAGGGGGCAAAGGGGGCCCTTGGTGGTGGACATTTGCGGGGTGGGGGGTTCGCTGCTGCTCCTGCTTTTGGTTTGGCGATATTTGGTATGCTGCTCCCAGGCACCGTGGGTGGGGGTGTCAGAAGGGGCCAATCCTCACCCGCCTGGAAGGGAGGGTATTGCTCACCAGGGATCAGTGGGGGGGCCTCAACCACCCCCACCCCTCCCAACGCCTTGTTTTGGCACTGTGTAGAGGAGGAGGAGGCGGGGCGGTGCCCACCTCAGCGCTGAGGAGCAAAGCGCCCCCCCATTTCTAGCTTCGCTCCCGGGAATCTTCCAGCTGCCACGGAAAACCGGTCCAGGTTCCCCTCTCTGGCAGTGCCCCCGCACCCCGGTTTGGCGAGGGAGGGGGGGCATATTTGGCAGCCAGAGCGGCTGGCAGGTTGAGGTAGTTTGGCATTTGTATCAAAAATAGAGAATCCGGGACAGCCGGGGGGTCAGGCTGGGGCGGCGACTGGGCCAGCCACTGGGTCCGGTGGAGGTGAGGTAGATTCTTCGGAGGTTTATGGCCGAGCTGCTGGACGGCAGCATGCCCTGGGGCGAAGGGAGGCCGGGCCCGCAGAGCGGCCACCGTGGCTCTGCCCCGGCGCTCCCTGCCCCGCGCCCCGCCGAGGCTTAACTGCTGGGCGGGGGAGGCAGGCAGCGCTCCACGGTCACCTCGAACTGGGGGGCGTCGTGGCTGGTGACTCCATCCGAGGAGGGGGGATTCTGCGGGGAGAAAGCAAGCGGCATCAGCGCTAGCGGCCCCTGGAAGCCCTGCCCCAGCCGAGCCCCGCAGCCCGTGTCTGCTGCCCCACAGAACCCGCTGTGTTCCACACGAGGGGTTGGGAGGGTGCTTAAAGGCGCCACCATTTCCCCCTTCCATAGGTAAACTGGACCGCGTTTGCTCAGGATTCAGTTGAGGCCAAGGGCTCTTCCCTCTTAGAGGTGCCAAGTTAGCATCTCAGAGGGAGGGCTCTTCCTTCTGGAGGGGGGTTATCTTAGAACCATAGAACAGTAGGGTTGGAAGGGGCCATGAAGGCCATCGAGTCCAACCCCTGCAGTTGCAGGACACCAGTTTACACCATCCCGCTCAGATGGCTGCCCAGTTTCTCCTTGAATGTCGCCAGTGTGGGAGAGCCCCCCACCTCTCCAGGCAGCTGGTCCCACTGTTGTGTTGCTCTGACAGCGAGGGAGCTTTTCCTGATGTCCAGCCTGAATCTGGGTTGTCACAACTTGACTTGATTCTTCCTTGTCCTACACTCTGGCATCGGCAAGCAGAGATACTGACCTTCCCCTTTGTGACAGCCTTTCAGGGACTTCTAGAGGGATCTCATGTCCCCTCTCAGCCTTCTCTTCTCAAGGCTGAACATGCCCAGTTCCCTCAGTCTCTCTTCACAGGGCAGTGTTTCCAAACCCTGGATCATTTTTGTTGCCCTCTGCTGGACCCTTTCTAATTTACCTGCATCTTTCTTAAATTTTGGTGCCCAGAATTGGACACGGTATTCCAGATGAGGTCTGACTAGTGAGGAGTATACTTCTTGTGATTTGGAAGCAATACTTCTGTTAACGCATCCCAAAATAGCATTTGCCCTTTTGGCGGCTGCATCACATTGTTGGCTCATGTTTAGCCTATTGCCCGCAATTATTCCGAGATCTTTTTCTTCTTCAGTTCTGTTGAGCCACGTATTCCCCATCTTGCACGGCAGCATTTGGTGTCTTTTTCCGGGTAGAGGACTTGACACTTGCCCTTATCGAATCCCATTCTGTGGCTTTCAGCTCAGCCCAGTGTTCAAGTTTCTCAAGACCTTGTATGGCTGAGCTTTCCATAAAAATGCCACAGACGGGTTTTTGTGTTTCATTTTTCCCATGTGCCCCAGAGACCCTCCCCTGCAGTGCTGGGCCCCGTGGCCAGGCCCAGTTGTGGTCCCCGTTTGCAAGATCGGCAGGACTCGGCCGCCTTCCTCCCAAGCACCTCAGTGCCAGCAGGACATCTCCCCAGTTAGACAAGGGCACCAAGACCTCTGCCCTATGTACAGACACACACAGACCAGCTTACCTGAGTGACCAGCTCCACCATTTCCGAGGGTTTGGCCCCACTCTCTGGCTTGCGTTGGGATCGGGGAAGTTCCCGGGAAGTGGTCTGGACCAGCTCTGAGCCCTGTGGAACCGTCCAGCTTTCCTGGATCCCCTTCTTGCAGAACAGACTGTTGGGAAGGCACGGAGAGGGGCTGAGGGGAACGTGGTCTTGGTTTGAAGCCTTTTTTCCCAGACGGTGGCTTGGAAGCCTAGCATCACTCTCTTGTTCTGAATTCCCAGCTTGCCTGAAAGCCTGTGCATATCCTTGGAAGGGCCAGGGGGTCAGGGAACACTCAGACCTCTGCTTGCAAAGGGGACATTAAAAATCTGAGCAGCAGGGAGGCACGGGGAGTCCATGGAAGCGGCTTTGCATGGCATCCTGGGACAAGTCGAGCAAAGTCAATGTGAGCTGCTTGGTGGAAGTCAAGGATGCTGGGAGGGGAAGTGTGCCTGCAAGGGACACACCTGGGGCCCTGCATCTGCGTGGCTCTTAAGAGCCACGTGTGCCCAGCTCCATGCAGGCTCAGAGGTGAGCGTTCACCAGGAATCTAGGCCATGGTGCCCCGTGGCAGCTTTCAGGGCACTGAGGAAGCAAGGGCCCTGCTCTCGCTCGCTCCAGGTGGGACAGGCACCGGCGAAGCGTGATCGCTTCTCAGCACTGCCAGGACCGCCGGCGGGTCGAAGCGAAACGGTTCCCACGGGCTTCTGAATGCTCACCTCTTGCGGTAGCCGAACATAAGGAAGAGGACACAGAATATGATGCAGGCCATGCCGATGTGGACCCCAACCACGATGCCGGCGAGGGAGGTTTCTCCGTCCTGGCTGCACTGGCAAACCGAGTTGGCGTCTGTGGGGAGAAGCGGGCATGTGAGCAGGGGGACGGGGAGGGTGGGCCAGAGGGGGGCAGGGCAAGCTGGGCAAAGCTGGGCAGCGGCCCTACCTCTCCTGGGCGTTTTCTGTGGGGTGCTGGGGTGCCGCCTAGGAAAAGAGGGATCGGGGAGGCGGTGGCAATGCAGCAGGACACGGGAAGCGTCCTGCAGGATCCGGCTAAAGCCCCCTTGGGCCTGTTTGGCGCGTGACACCAGCCCAAAGGCGAGGGCCGGGCATGCTCTTTCTGCCCCTGCCCCGACCCTGGAGCAGCAGTCTGTGCCTGCGAATTCCACGCTTGGGTCCTGCGTGCGGCAGAGACACACCTGTCAGGATGTGTGTCTGTGCGTGTGGGGCGGCCTCACTCATTCCAAGCCCTTACCCAGCCGCTCAGAGTTCTCCTTGAGCGAGACAAATCTCACGCTGCTGTTGCCGTCGCCGTTCCCGTTGAAGGCCTGGAGTTTGATCTCGTAAGTAGCGGAGGGCTCTGCGGTGGGAAGCAGAGGTTTGCCAGGTCAGGTTGCTAGGAGCCAGCACTAGGGGGCGCTGTGCCTGGGCAGTGGGGCGGGGGGGTGCTAGCAGGGATGCCCGTCTCTAAGGAGCCCTGGGGAAGCAAGGAGAGTGGAAGGCCAGGAAATGGGGGGATTCAAAGCCACGTGGAAAGACCAGCAACGCTAAACCACTCCTCCTTGTTTCTGCTCCTCGGAGGAGGTGGTAGAGCCCTGAGGGTGGTGGAACAGACTGTACCACTTTAGGCTGTGGTTGCAGGGGGCACCGCTTTTTCGGTTTGTCAGGTGCCATTTCACGCTGGTGGGCTGGGGTTCGAAGCGGCAGCCCTCCATTTGGGATTTGGAGCGATAGGTTCTTGAGCAAAGTGCGCTGGGTTCAGGGAAGGGGGGATCCGGAGGAAGGCAAAGGGAAAGGCCTCCTTGAGGGGGCGAACGCTGAGCGTGCGTGTGAGAGTGTGGCCGAGCTGGCCTGTGTGACCGAACGGGGCGTGCAGAGTTTGGAGACGGGAGTGGAGCCTCTGGAGTGGAGCGGAGGCTGAGGGGGTGAGGTAGCCCACAGGCCGCCTGCCTTCGGACCCGCCACCCACTTCTGGCCTGGCATCTGGTCCCCAGGAGCCTGGCCACATGGCAGTGCCAAGACAGACCCCGATCTTACTGGGAGGACTGGGAGCCGACGGCCCCTCCGTCCGCACAGGAAAGAGGGCTCTGCTGCAGAGCCGGGCCAGCCCTCCCGAGCAGGCAAGCCGAAGCCTCACCCAAGTCGCCGAACGTGAAGGAGTTGGCCGTGCCAGGCAGCAGCTGGGGTCCTTCGTAGTGGGTGCCGGGCAGCTTGCGCAGGTACAGCTTGAAGCCCTCGATCTGGCCCGGCCGGGCCGGGAGCTCCCAGAAGACGTGGATGGCGCTGGCATTCAGGATCTTGGTGAAGAAGCCCGGTGCTGCCGGGACTGGGGAGAGGAGCGTGGGTGAGTGGCGGGAAGGGGGCGGCGTCCCCCGCTGCTCTGCACCCGTCTGCCCTGGGCTGTGGTGGGACTGGGTGTCTACAAAAAGCTGGACTCAGCCGTGGGGGCTCAGCCCCGTCGAAGGGGCTGCTCCGCTTACGGCTGCAAATGAACGTAGCTTTCGGTGGCACAAGGCAGGGGCTTAGGTTCTCCGTGTTTTATGAAGAAAAGCTATCGCAGCAGAGGAAATGCTGCCTTAGAAATTTTTTCTCCCAGACCTGTACTTTTCCTCAGTGCAGGGGCTGGGAACGAGAATGCGTTTCTTGTCCTTGTTTTTAAATCTGAAACAATTGAGCCCAGTTGCTGATGGGGAAAAAGTATGGCCACAGATTAAGAGAAGAGAGAAAGAAGAATGTTTAGCTCAGTCGGGCAAAGGTGCAAGGGAAACTGGCAAGTCGGAATCAGAGGCGCGGCTAATTAGGTTTCCCTAGAAAGGCAGTTCCAGAATCTCACTCATCAGCCCTGCCACGCTAGGTGTCACTCTGAGACTGGGAGGAGACGATCTGCATATTCAAGTGGGCCAAATCCAGCCCACGCTGGCTCCCCTGGTGGCCGCATTCTTCTCCCAACCCCCGATAATGTTGGGGGGCTTCCCAGCTTTTGCAGTTTTTTCCCATCCTGGAAGGCCAAAACGCCTCTCCTTCCATTGCCAGCAGTACACGCTGTCCAGCCCTGCCCCTTGCCTTCGTCACCCCCACCCCACTCCACCCTCTGCCCTGCAGAACCTTTCCAAAATGGGAGAGGGCCACCCCCGGCCACACGGGACACGCTGCCCTTGAGCCGACCTGCTCACAAGCGGCTGGGGGCCTTCCGCGTCACCGCCGAGGAGCGAAGCTGCCCCGGTGTGCAGTCACGCTCGACTGCCGCTCCGGGGCAGGCGAGAGCCAGCGCAGCCCCCAGCGCTGATTAGCGCTCTCAGATACCTGGGAGGTTCTGCCATTTCCAAGTCAGGTCGACTCCAGAGAGGCTTGGCAAGAGGGCAGTTCTCTGCGTGTGAACAGAAGCGCTGTCTCCTGTCTGCTCCGTGCAGAAGACGAAGCAGATCTGCCCTGCCCTTTGGTCTGCCAAGGCAGAGAGGCCGATCTGGGCCAGAGCCTTCCCAGCAGCTCTTCGGCAGCAGAGCTGACTGTCCCGGGAGGTGCTGGGCTCTCCGTCTCCCTAGGTGCTCCAGCGGGGGCTTCATGGCCACTGCTCGGAAGCTGTAGTCGCAGGGTTGGACTAGATGGCCTCTGGGAACCCTTCCAGCTCATGGTTTCTTTGCTCCCATTCAGATGCCCTGAAACACCTTGGTGTTCCCAGATCCCTACAGTGCTCCGCGGCAAGCCGGGGGAGAGGAGCCTGGCGGCCAACTCACTGCTGCCCAGCGTGGTGGCCAGGATGGGCCTTGAATCCTGGCTGGCTCCCAGCGGCGAATACGCCTTCAGGTAGATGGAGTAGGTCGTGGACGGCTCCAGGTTGGTGAAGACGTGCTGGAAGGTCGTTTTGCTGACCGCCTCTTGGAGCTCCCGGCTGTCGGATTCTGCAGGAATAGTAATAATGGCACCAGCGCTGGGCTGAGGCCGGGGTGGCCAGGCCCCTGCTGAGGGCCCACAGCCCCACCCTGCTGGGGCCACATGCAGAAGCCCTCCGGGAGCTGCACCCCGTGTCCACTGCCTCTTGCCCCAGCCAGCCAGCCAGGCGGCGGCGGTGGTGGCGAGAGGCCGCCGGTCGCTGGCAGGCAAGCAAGCAAGCAAGCAGCAGCCACAGGGAGAAGGGACCCCCAGGACACGGGGCTTTGGGAACCGGCCGGCACTAGGAGGGAGGCAGGGAGCAGGGGAGCGGCCCGGCTGGACGGGCTGGACTGGGTCGGGCAGCCCAGCTCCCGGGGGGGCCGGGGGGTTGGCGCATCCCGCCGAGCACTCACCTCCCGCCTTGCGGATGTGCAGCACGTAGCCGATGATGGCCTCCGTCACCTCCATGGGGGGCTCCAGCCAGGACACCTGGATGGAGGTGGTGGAGAGCGTGGTGGCCTGGACTCCCTCGGGGGAGCTGGGCAGCTCCTTGGACAGGGCCACGGCCAGCCGGGCGCTGGCCTGGTTGGTGCCCGCGCTGTTCTGGGCGATGCACTGGTAGATGGCCTCGTCCCCCGGAGTGATCCTTTGGATCATGAGGGTGCTGCGGGACACACGGGCGACGCATCAGTGGGCGCGGGCGGAAGAGGGGAGACCCCCACTCCTGTCCAGCAGGTGGGAGTCTCTGCCCCCACCCCCTGCCCATGGGGAAGGGACTTCCTGCTCAGCCGTTTCCTGGCGCGATACCGAGGTCTCCTTACAGATTTTTTTCTTTCAGATTTCTCCCTCTCCTTACTGCTCGGCTGCTCTTTTGGGGGAAGTTAGTGTGGCGTTTCCCCTCCCGCCACCTTAATGAGCTGGCATAGGTTTCCCCCAAGTATCCTGGGAGTTGTAGTTTGGATCGCCTCTCCCCCAGCTCCTCCGCACATCCCCCGGCGTCACAGAAGCATGACCCCCGGAGCTCCCCGGGGGAGAGCAGGTGACTGCTTTATTCAGCCACGTGCCTTTTTTCTTCTCTTTTCTTTTCCTTTCTTTGCCGGTTTTCCGCAGCTCACCTGTTGTTGCGTGTGAGCTTGACATTTTCGCCGGGGGCCAGGACTTTGCCGTTCTTCAGCCAGATCAGGTGGGGCTCCGGAACACCTTGTGCCACGCAGGTGAAAATGGCACTGCTGCCCAGCGATTTGGAAATGGACTGTGGCCATTGCACGAACTCCGGTGGGGCTGAGGGGCACCAAGAAGGGGCAGTCAGGGGCGCTGCTGCAGCCGCCGCGTGTGAGATTGGGGGCACGTGCGGCAGGCGTGCTGGGTTTCAGAGGCCAATCGTTTATCACAGGGGTGGCGAACCTGCGGCACGCGAGCCCTCTCTGTCGGCACGCGAGCCAGGCCCCCCAGCAGCCGAGCATCGCATAGCAGGGCACATAGGGGCCATGCGCACGCTCGGAAAGAAGTAGCAGCGCCAAGCGATGACGTCACAAGCCACGACTCATTAGCCGTGACTCGTCCGAGCTTTCGCATGGCCGGTCAGTGCGCTGCCAAGGAGATATATATATATATATATATATATATATATATATATATATATTTGCTTGGACTGGCCGTGAGTTGGTTTTTCTAAACTGAAACCTCAGTGTTCAGGTTTTATTGCAGTGTTGGCACTTTGGGATAAATAAGCGGGTTTGGGTTGCAGTCTGGGCACTCGGTCTCTCAAAGGTTCGCCATCACTGGGCTTTGCCATCGCTTAGCGACTTGGATTTCTCTGTCCTTGCGTTGTCGCGCCTGCGCTGCCAATCTGCTGTGCGTGTCCATGAGTTTAAACCTATCAGCCAGTAACCCCTGAATGCCAAGGGAACGATCGTCCCTCCAGAGCGGGAATCGCTGGCCAACAGTGGGGTGGTGGGAGGATCCAGTGGGGCTCGTCTTGAGGGCCTGAGTTAGAAAGAGGTCCCAGGAGCACACTGAAGAGCCCACCTGAAACTTCTGCTGGACCCTTTCCCCAGTTAGAGCTGGGCCAAGCACGGCCGAGGTGGAATGATGCCGGTCTGTGGGCTTCACAAGAGGACAGAAAGAGAAGTGACTGCGCAGGTTCCTGGTCGCCTGTGATCATGCGCAAGCCCCTGTCGGACCTGGAGGGAGGCTCCGGCCCCCATCCTCGTCTCTCGAACTGCCCTCCCATTCAGGCTGCTCCCTTTCCTCTCACACAGCTGCTTGCTGTCAGAATTTCTAGAGCTTTGCCAAGGGCGGACTCAGCATGCCAAGCTGCACACGCAAAACCAGGCGGGGCGATTCGCATGCTCTGCTCATCCTAGGGGACAGCAGAACCAGGCGTGTGCACAGGCCCGCCTTTGCCAAAGCGAGCAGCCACTGGGCGCGTCTCTGCGGGGGCTCCGGCTGGGTCCCCGGCCCCTTTGGCCAGCCCTCCCTCCCTGCCTGCCTGCGGGCGCAGCTTGCCCCGTCCGATCCACTCTTCCCTCCTCCGAGCGGAGGCCGCAGATGTGCCGCGGTAATTTCCGTCACTCTTCCTGGCCTCTCCCTCAGGAGGTGGTTGCCAGGGTCACGGAGCAGGGACTCCCCTGCTCTCTTGGAAGGCAATCACAACCCCACGCAGCCCCGCGAGGTGGACATCATCTGGCGTTGCGTCGCACACGCCTGCCACAAATCACACCGCTCCTGAGCAGTGACATTTCGTGCAATTCTCACACGGTTTTCTTGAAAAGTGGCCGAGGATGGGAGGGAGCTGCCCAGCCTGCCAGGAGGTGGGCTCTCTGTCGTGAGAAGAACATGAAACCCCCCTCTCTCAATCCCAGCACATGGCCGCTCCAAATTTCTAATCCTAAACAGCATCTTTGCAGCCTCTAAAGAGCAAGACCGAATCTGCAGTGTGCTTTGCATGTGGAGCCCTTCCTAAAGTTTACACGCCTTGACCCGGGACCTCCCTGCGTTCCTTCATCTCTGGGCTGGGCACGCGGCAACCAGCTGCAACCAGGAACGGTTCACGGCGAGCAGGGCGAGCTGGCGGCCGTGAGGCCAGGGAGCAGCACAGCCCAAGTGCCCCGCGGAGGCGAATGGGGCCTGGGAGTCAAGGCCGCGGCTGCCTGCCCTTAAATCTGAGATAAGCACACCAGCTGAGCGGGGGTCTGGCTTCACTGAGTCCCCCGGGGAGCTGGGAAGCGGAAGGACGGTTGAGCCAAGCGTGGAGAAGGCCGGGTGCTGCCTTTGCCTTGCGCCACGGAGAGGCAGGAGGGATCCAGACAGGGAGGGGAGGGCGAGCTGGGCAGGGGCCAGCCCCCCTGTGTGACTCTCCACCCACCCCATCCAAAGGTGGTCAGTGCAGAATCAGGGAGCTGCTCTGCTTTTTCCACCCCCAACACTGGGCTGGTTCTAGAAGGACCCACACGGCCCTTCACCCGTTATTGAACCCGCGGGGGGGGGGGCGTGGAGCTGGGAGGGAATCGGGCCCCGGCCCCATGGCCTGGATCGTGCCCGCTCCCCAGCTGCGCCGTGGCCGAGAGCCGGCTCCCCCACCCGCATCCTCTGCAGCGTGGGAGCCGGTGGCGGCAGATGTCACATTGAAATGCCTGCCGCTCTCCAGAAAAGAGGCATTAAGCTTTCGGAGATGGGCTGCATCTCATTAGGCGCCAAAGGGCTGGGAAAAGAGCAACGCCCCCCGCCCCACTTTCCCCCAGACAAAGGCCGGGCCCCCTCCTCATTGTGTGTGCGCTCACACAGAGGGGGGACCGGCCTCTCCCTTGCAAAGGGCTGGGTCATCCCGGCGGCCGTGACATGGTCCTCCCCCTTGCACCGCCTCAGCCGGGCAGGAGGGAGACCCCCAAGAGCCCTCCCCACCCTGCTGACCGCAGCGCTGCCGTGAGCCCCTCCCTCCCTCCCTGCTTGCCTGCCTCCCGTACGGCGGAGGGGGGCCAAAGCGCAGTCTGGAAGCAACCAGGGGCCGTGGGGGGCGTGTTCCAGAGGGGCCCCCATGCCTGTAATAGGGTGCTGTCCAGTTCAGTGGCCGGAGGCCCCCCAGCATCTCCCACTCGCAAGGCCCCCAAAAACTCCAAAGAGCCAGCAGCCGCAGAGGGGGTGCAGGTAGCGGAGAGAGCTTAACCTGGCCGACAGCGGCCCCCGGGCCCCCTCCTCGTTCCACGGTGCACCTGGGAGGAGCAGCGGTTGCCACCGCGGTGGCTGAGTCTCTGCTTCCTCCACGCTTGTGTCCCCGTCTGCCCCCACCGGCCCCCCGTTTGGGAGCCGCCAGGGCTGCCTCCCCCGAGCTCCCGCAGCAGTCGGCCAGCCCGCTTTCCTGTGTGCGTCCCCCGCAGCCTCTGCCCTAGTCCAGAGTTCAGACTCGCTCTGGGTCGGAGATGGCCCGCCCTGCCCTGTGGGGTGAGGAGGAGAGAGGTGGGGAGCCCATGTGCGCGGGGGTCGTGCCCTCTGGCCTCCGACCCTCCCCCTCACAAAGTCAAGTGTGCGATTCCCAGCTGGGGTGGGCCGGCTGCCCCCTCGGCCCGGCCAGGCCCCGTCTGACTCACGGCCACTGACCCCTGCCGTTGTCTCCTCAGCAAGAGCGGGCCGAGAGAGGGCGGCGAGGAATCTCGGGGGCACCTCCCTGCTGAAGCACATTATCCCCCCTCTCTTTGTTAACAGCCCCCCCACTTCCAAATTCAAAGCCGGCAGAAGTCCATTTGGCCGACGCTGTCCCCCCGCTGGGAAGGAGGCGTCTCGCCCCATCAATCACCCCGCGGCCCTTTGTCCCCGGCACACGGGTCACAGAATCGACCCCGTGCCTCTTTATCCGAGCTGCGGACCAGAATCGATGGCTGCTCTGGGGGCTGCCTCTCACCCCTTCGGGTGAGAAAGCAGAGCGGGTGCTCGGGGCGGGGAAGGGGGGGGCGAAATGGGGTCCGTTTCGGGGACTTGGTGCCTGGCCGTAAGGGGAGGACACAGCCAGGCTGCCCCGCAGCGGCTCGTGCTGGCTGTGGGCCGCGCCCCACGAGGGTTGTGACTGGCTGGTTATGGGGTGTCTGCAGGAGCAATTGTCCATTTTTCCAGGGGGACACGGGTGCTGTGGCAGCTCCTGCACTGGCCAGAAAAGATGGTGCAGCCTTGCTTTGCAGACGGGCACAACTGCAGCTAGCAAGAGTGAGTCGGGGGTGCCTGCCCCACTGTCGGGGGGCTTGTTCTCTTGCAGGAGTGGTGGGGCCGCAACCCCCATCTGCCCCAGCCAAGCTAGCCAGTGGCACTGGGGGTGGCAGCCCCAAATCCGGAGGCGGAACCGGACCATGATACGCCTGTGCTTTGTGTCTGCCAGGCAGATGAATGGGTAGGGGTGAAGGCTGTGGGCACCTGCTGCTGGAGGGGCCCTTTGCACATGCTCAGAAGCACACTCTCCTCTCTGCATTCAAGTTATGCCCCCCAAACCCCACCCTCTAGAGTCGCAGGTGGTGCTGCTCTCACTCATGCAGGCCCAAGGAGGGGGCAGGACAGCAGCCCAGGCAGACAGGCAGACAGACAGAAAGAACTCTGCGCCGGCTCTGGCGCTTCCCGCCCACCGCCAGGCTCACCTTGCACCATCAGGATGCCTTGTGCCGTGCGGCGCACGCGCGTGCCGGGCCGATTGGCGGCACAGACGTAAACGCCGGCGTGCTTCACCGACACGTCCGAGATCATGAGGTTGCCAGTGCCCAAGACCTGGATTCCTTCGACGCCGATGGAACGTCCGTCTGTGGGGAGGGCGAGAGGCGTGCCAGTGAGCGCCGTGGGGGGCGAGGGGGGGTCTCCTGGGCCCTTTCACACTCCGCACCCCACTCACCCAGGCGGCTCCAGGACACGATCGGCTGGGGGTTGCCTGTGGCGATGCACTCCAAGATGGCCGTCTGATGCACTGTGATGGTCAGATTCTGGGGGCCGGACAGAATCACCGGCTCGTTGTAGAGCTTGGGGGCCGAGACTGCCAAGAGAGGGAGGCATCGGCCACGTCAGGAAGCCCACTTCCGTCCGGACTATGCGTTTCTCAGCCCTCCCATGCTGCTAGCACGGTTTTCGTGAGAGCTTAGCTGCAGCAGCCCTTTTCAGCAGGGCAACAGCAGTGTTGGCTTTGGTGGGTCCTCCAGGTACTGCCTATAAGCTTCTAGTCCTGTTTTAATGTAAGCTAATATTCTCAGGGAGATACTGAAGATGAAACTCTAATACTTTGGCCACTGAATGAGAAGGAACAACTCACTGGAGAAGACCCTGATGCTGGGAACGATTGATGGCAAAAGAAGAAGGGGATGGCAGAGGATGAGGTGGCTGGATGGAGTCACTGAAGCAGTGGGTGTGAGCTTAAGTGGACTCCGGGGACGGTGGAGGACAGGAAGGCCTGGACGAGTGTTGTCCATGGGGTCGCGATGGGTTGGGCACGACTTCGCGACTCACAACGACAACAATATTTTCAGGGAGATATATTTGGAGAGGAGTCCTCATAAACCAGGCTGTGCAGGAGGCAGAGCTGGACTGACGATGCCGTTCTGTGGGAAGGAAGGTGACAGCAAAGCCCAGGTCTCTGCACAGTGGCTCCTCCAGGGCTCCTCTGCTCAGTCACAAACATACCGGGTGCGTTTAGGCACATGGTAGCTTCTCAGCCATGCCTACCTCGCAGGGTTGTATCAAAGGTAAAGGCTGGGAGAGACTTTGCTCTGAGGGTTGCACTGATTGGCGGAGGAAAACATGCCAGAGGAGAAGGCAAGTGCAGGATTGGTGGATCCAGCATGGTGGGTTTCAGCATCCCTGCACTGTCCCCAGCTGGACCAGTTATCCTGCAAATCCAGCCACACCTGGTGCGACCAAAGGGGCTTCAGCATCCTCACTCGAGCTGCATCACCTGTGTGTCCTGGAGAAGTGGTCCGACGCCCCCCTCCAAAGTATTCCCCACGGGACCCAGGAGCTGAGCTGCCGCCCACACCGTGACAAACCGAACGCTCACCGCTGATGCTCAGCGCGGCCTCCTGGCTGTAGCGCGTGTTGGCAATGTTGCTCGCCACACACCGGTAGGTGCCCACGTCCGAGTGCCTCACGCCCGTGATCTGCAGGATGCCGGTGGGCAGCAGGGTGAACCTGCCGGGGATGGCAAGAGAGGAAGCAGAAGAGGGGACGCGTGAAGCCATCGCCGGTCTCTCCACCTGGCTGCTGGTAAGGGAGTCTTTTTGGTGGTGGCCCCATAGCTTTCGAATGTTCTGCCCGGGAAGCTCACAAAGTGCACGGAACACCCCTTTGTTTCCCAGGCCTGTATGCTGCTTTTGTGAAGTTGCTGTTTTGCAATACTTTGATGTATTCTTTTAGTGCATTTTTTAAATGAAGGGTGAAAGGATGGGAAAAAGCGTAATTTTAAACAAGCAAGCAAGCAAGCAAGCAAGCAAGCAAGCAAGCAAGCAAATAAATAAAGGAGGCCATGTGGCCTCTTCGGAAGGCTCATTCTCGCACAGAGATGGCTCCTTTCTCCCATTTCCCAAGCAAGTATAGCCTGGTTCAGAGATGTCATCAGGGTACTAGAGAGCTGGCCCTTTGAAGTTGATTTTGGAAATCTGTCACCCCCGATCTTGGGAGTCTACGAGCTGGTCCTCCCAACCCGCGGGGCAAGTAGCAAAGGAACCTCTTCCGTGTTCCAGCTGATCTCCTTCCTCCCTTTAGTCATTGGTCTGCAACCTTTATTGTTGTGGAGAAAGAAGGTAAGTTGTTGGAAGGGTATAAAGAGGGGCCCATTGGATGTATTTTGCGGGAATTTCCAATACCCCAACCCTAATGTAAGGGTAAAGGTGGAATGCATTTACAATAGACACCAGCGTAGTGTTAGGGTTGGGAAAACGAGGCGTCCTGGCATGATTTTGATGGTTGGAATGTGTTTAGAATGGGCAGAAATGATGAGCTGTGCAGAAAAATCTACTCAATCCTTTTTCAGAATCGCCTTACTTTCAGTGGAACTTGAACCCTATATTAGGGTTAGGGGAGTGCACCAGGGTAGGGTTAGGGTTAGGAAAACTGTGTGTCCTGGCATAGTTTTGATGGTTGGAGTGTGATTAGGGTGGGCAGATCTGATGAGCTGTGCAGAAAAAGCTACTCAGGGAAGGCTTTTTCAAAATCGCCCTCTTTTCAATGGTATTTTACCCGGTTTTTAGGGTTAGGGGAGTGCACCAGGGTAGGGTTAGGATTAGGAAAACGAGGTGTCCGGGCGTGCTTTTGATGGTTGGAATGTGTTTAGGATGGGCAGAGATGATGAGCAGTGCAGAAAAAGCTACAGAAGGAAGGCTTTTTCAAAATCGCCTTACTTTCCGTAGAACTTGAGCCATATATTAGGGTTCGGGGAGTGCACCAGGGTAGGGTTAGGGTTAGGAAAATTGTGTGTCCTGGCATGGTTTTGATGGTTGGAATGTGTTTAGGATGGGCAGAGATGATGAGCAGTGCAGAAAAAGCTACTCAACGAAGGCTTTTTCAAAATCGCCTTACTTTCAGTGGAACTTGAGCCCTATATTAGGGTTATGGGTGTGCCCCGGGGTAGGGTTAGGGTTAGGAAAACTAGGTGTCCTGGCATGGTTTTGATGGTTGGAATGTGTTTAGGATGGGCAGAGATGATGAGGAGTGCAGAAAAAGCTACTCAACGAGGGCTTTTTCAAAATCCCCTTACTTTCAGTGGAACTTGAGCCCTATATTAGGGTTAGGGGAGTGCACCAGGCTAGGGTTAGGGTTAGAAATACTAGGTGCCCTGGCATGGTTTTGATGGTTGGAATGTGTTTAGGATGGGCAGAGATGATGAGCAGTGCAGAAAAAGCTACTCAACGAAGGCTTTTTCAAAATCCCCTTACTTTCAGTGGAACTTGAGCCCTATATTAGGGTTAGGGGAGTGCACCAGGCTAGGGTTAGGGTTAGAAATACTAGGTGTCCTGGCATGGTTTTGATGGTTGGAATGTGTTTCGGATGGGCAGAAATGATGAGCAGTGCGGAAAAAGCTACTCAACGAAGGCTTTTTCAAAATCGCCTTACTTTCAGTGGAACTTGAGCCCTATATTAGGGTTAGGGGTGTGCACCAGGCTAGGGTTAGGGTTAGGAAAACTAGGTGTCCTGGCATAGTTTTGATGGTTGGAATGTGTTTAGGATGGGCAGAGATGATGAGCAGTGCGGAAAAAGCTACTCAAGGAAGGCTTTTTCAAAATCGCCTTACTTTCAGTGGAACTTGAGCCCTATATTAGGGTTAGGGGAGTGCACCAGGGTAGGGTTAGGGTTAGGAAAACTGTGTGTCCTGGCATAGTTTTGATGGTTGGAGTGTGATTAGGGTGGGCAGATCTGATGAGCTGCACAGAAAAAGCTACTCAGGGAAGGCTTTTTCAAAATCGCCCTCTTTTCAATGGTATTTTACCCGGTTTTTAGGGTTAGGGGAGTGCACGAGGGTAGGGTTAGGATTAGGAAAACGAGGTGTCCGGGCGTGCTTTTGATGGTTGGAATGTGTTTAGGATGGGCAGAGATGATGAGCAGTGCAGAAAAAGCTACAGAAGGAAGGCTTTTTCAAAATCCCCTTACTTTCAGTAGAACTTGAGCCATATATTAGGGTTAGGGGAGTGCACCAGGGTAGGGTTAGGGTTAGGAAAACTGTGTGTCCTGGCATGGTTTTGATGGTTGGAATGTGTTTAGGATGGGCAGAGATGATGAGCAGTGCAGAAAAAGCTACTCAAGGAAGGCTTTTTCAAAATCGCCTTACTTTCAGTGGAACTTGAGCCCTATATTAGGGTTAGGGGTGTCCACCAGGGTAGGGTTAGGATTAGGAAAACTTGGTGTCCTGGCATGGTTTTGATGGTTGGAATGTGTTTAGGATGGGCAGAGATGATGAGCAGTGCGGAAAAAGCTACTCAACGAAGGCTTTTTCAAAATCCCCTTACTT